ATTTGCTATATCTTGCAATATCAATCGGCATCTGAACTGTGATGAAGCAATTTGACTGATAAAACGAATTTTCCGAATCTGCAGGAAGACTCACTGGGATTTTTATATGCCTTTATGAGCCGATCAACCAATTGATCACAAGCCATCACCAGATCAGTGTCTAGGTTTGGAGAAGGTATAACTGGGTCTCCTCCTGTCTTCTCTGCATTGAATTTCTGTTCCGTATAATCACATGCCACATGAGTGACAGTCAGGGCCCAAGTGCGCAAGAGGGTTATTTCATCATCGGAAGTGGAAGAAACATCCATGATTGAATTGATCTTGTGAGATCAGAAGCTGAATCCTGAATGTCCGCACTTTGGTGTTAAAGGGGGTGGAGATTGAGAGGATCAGATAAGGGAGCCTTGGATGATCTGAGCTTTCAAGATCTATTTCTCTTATCATCTATTGCTCAATGAAATACCACATGATTGGAAGTCTGTTGGATGTCAGATACTCGTTTGTCGAGACCCGGGCCTCGGATCTCGGTACACTTCACTCGATTTTGATACCCGGGACACCATAGTTGGAACTTGTCTCGAATCTCGGGTCTTGGGCGTCGGGTCTCGGGTCTCGGGCATCGGGTCTCGGGTCTCGATGGTCGGGACTCGATATACGGGACTCGTTGGTCGGGACTCGATACTCGATTGTCGGGATTCAATGGTCAGGCGTCGGGTTTCATGACTCGGTAGTCGGGACTCGATAGTCGGGACTCGATGGTCGATTTTCGGGATTCGATAGTTGGGGCTCAGATATTGGTACACTTCACTCAATTTTCGGTGGTCGGAACTTGGCATTTGGCATTTGGTAGGCTTGGATGATGTTGGCTTTCAAAGATCTATTATCATCCATTGCTCAATGAGATACCAGATGATCGGAAGTGTGCTGGACATCACATATTTGTTTGTCGAGACCCGGGTCTCGGAACTCGGTACACTTCGCTCGAGTTTCCACTTCACCCCTTTGCAAAGCTCCGTGCCATACCACATCATTAGATGACTTTGAATAATCACCTCCTTTGATTTGGATGATATACAACTAGCTGAGCTCCATCATGTCTACAATTATCATTCTCCTGGGCCCACCCGTCTATCTTATATACCCCCACGTCGGCCTACCCATCTATGCAATATATGTCTCCCGTCGGCCCACCTGTATATAATACATCTTTTACCGCTCCCTCGGCCCACCCGTCTACAAAATAATATTAATTCGTCGGCCCACCCGTCTAATATGATATATATCTGGGCCCACCTGTCTATGTGATAACAAGCACCCTTGATATACCCGGCTATTTGATACATATCTACCTTGGTACACCCATCTACATAATATCCAACTACCTCGGCCGATCCGTCTATTGAAAATTCATGTCCATCGGCCCACCCATCTACTTTACATATTCCCCACCTGGGCCCACCCGTCTCCATCGGGAATAATAACACTCCCGGCCCATCCGTCACAGTCGAGGATATATCTACCCTCGGCCCATGGTCCGCTGGCCCGTATCATACGGGATATTATGCACGTCCGTCCACTCGTATAATACGGAGATATGTTACTGCAATATGTGAGTGTCTTCCTTGCGCAAGTGCTGGGATTTTGGCCGCGTACATGGTGTTTTTTGAATTGCACCAGCTGCTGTCGAAGGCAAATATGAGTGTGACACTCATTGAGTGCATCATTAGCCTGTGCGAGCCGGAGAGACCACTCTGCATCGAGGAGCTTGTGATCACACTGTACATGATCACAAATCTCAGAGGGCAGAAGGAGCTGGGAGTCTTCAGCCTTTCCGGAGTTAGGATTTGGCCTGGGACAGCCACTGTCATCGCTGCCGTTGCTCAGAGATGAGTCAATCAACCCATTGGCACGGAGGTTTGTGACTGATGGTATGTACAGAGTCTGAATATTGGTCCAAGTGTCTATGCGGCGAAGGAGTGCGTTGCTACGAGTCAAAAGGTGTGTGCGTTGAGTGTCAGTCGGGTGTTGACCAAGTAGTCCTGCGTCTGCGCATAACCGACGTCTCAAAAAGTATGTAAGTGCATATTTGTCGTGTCATCGATTCACTCACTGTGCATGCTCAAGGTCAATACCGGTGCTGATGAGAATACTATGAGATACCTCAGAGTGAAGAGACACAAAAGTGCCATCCTCCAACTCCTTGGCATCTTGTTTCATGAGCTCCAACCGAACAGCTGCCTGTGTCATAGCTACTAGAGTATCAGTAACATGCAACTGCTGTAGAAGAAATGAACATGTACTGTCAACATGTCTCTCGAAAGGATTGGATTTTGTGTGGTCCATCTCCCAAGCCTCTATCTCGTCTCTCCATTTTGCCAGCAAAGAGGCACCTAGTTCGGACTCCCAAATTGAACCTTCGAGCTCAGATAGTGCGATTTGGTGCTCTTGCTCGGCGCGGACTGCTTCAATAGCCTTCCATGACATCACTCGACCTGATGCCAAGATGTGAGATGAATATGTCAGCAATAAGACAAAATACATACCTAGCAATGTGATTTTCTTCCAGTTCCAGTCTCCGAAATGGTCGTCCAGAGTATCTTGACGTGCTCCAGGACCCATCTCTCTAGTACTTGTAGCAACACGATTAATGTTCGCCCAACCACGTTCAGGGGCTTCCCCATCTGTTCAGCCAATGCCAGGAGACCAGTTGAGCGAAAACATAGTCTGACAAGCTTCAATGTGAGCCGCAAGATGAAATTTTGGTACAAAAAACCGGTATGTCTTCCCGATGAGATCTGATTGAAGGCGTAGTGGGAGGGAAGGGACGCGGCTCCAAAGTTTCTTGTGCCATTGGCACGCGATATCATAAGAAAAATTAACGACCTTGAGGTTTGCAAATGTCGACAACGCCGAAAACACGAGGTAGTCCATATTCAAATATCTGAAGTGTGATGCTGTGAGCGCACAAAAAATACAGACCGAAGAACACGTACCTTTTGCCCTTCTGTAAATCTCCCACACCATTTGCTAGTTTCATGTCATGTCGGGCACAGTCAACTGTACCGACACCTGTGGCAGCAAGCCCTTTCGACATTTTTGTGTCCGCCATGTTCACGGCATTGTGGCTCACACAAGTGCTCCTCTGTTAACACTACTTTAGTTTGTGGGCACGGATATAATTTAATCACGCACATACCTCTTGTACGACGGCAGAACTATTAGCTATATGGGCCTTATAATGCTTCTCGTCGACAAAGTAGCCCCACCCACTGCTGAGACCTGGATCTTTGCTGTCGGAAGAGATGGCTCGGCACTTAAGACGAAAGTTCGCATCGATTGCGAGAAAAACACTGTACATCCATCTGAATACATGTTAGCATGTATTCTGCCACTGACGATAAAATAACTTATGGTTGACTTGAGGCTTCCCAACTGTCAGGTAAATTTTTCCAGGGTACGGGCATGCTGGACATAGGAGAACAAGTTCGCCCTCTTGAGTTGCCTTGATGCCTGCTGGATCATGGCCATGGCCAGCGCACTGTGGGTATCACAACCTGGCAGGCACATATAAGAAAAGTGCTCAGCCAGTATAAGTGAGTCTCAGCTCTGCCTAGCTGCTATACTCGCAGAATGCAAGAACGTCCGACCCTAAAGGGGAAGCAAGGAAAGCAAGGATCCACGGAATGATGCTGAACAACCCTGGTGAATGGCGGTGAAAGCGTGAGAAAGCGCGCGCGGGAAAGCGAAGTGCGAAAGTGCGCGGAGCGCGGGAAGGTAGTGCAAGCAGTGCACAGGTGTAAAAGATGTATACTGAGACTGATAAGAGGGAAAGCGCGGATCTAGACGGATACTGATAGTGCCACTAGCTATAGACTGATGCTAGGGCCTCAAAACAATGATGGACACATGCATTGCATGGAGCTAACTGGTGATAGATACTGAGTGGTAGGAAGGTAAGGTGGTATTGTTCGGTGTAAAACGAACATGAAAGTATGTAAGTTCTACCTAAGCGCTCTCCCAGGGCTCGGAGCCGAATAGGGAGCACTCTAAGTATGTTAGTGATGTAAAGTAATGTAAAGTAAGGGTCCATGACGAAATGGGAAGTGTAATATGCCAAATATGGTCAGATAACGAAAAGGGACATACCAAGGGACTGGTTGGACGATGGATGGATGCTCCTGGATGATGTGCGACATAGTGCGCTTAAGCGCGAGAAAGCGCGCAAGGCGCGCACGCGGGAATACTGCGCGTTGTGTGGGAAAGTGTCGCGCCTATGGCGCGTTCTGCGGGAAAGTGGTGCGCTCTATAGGGAATGACTAGAGGGTGATGGTGCGAGTTGTGCCGTGAAGGCCAGTCATCAGAATTCATAATATGAGCCCATATGAGCCTGCAGAAACGCGAGTCTCTACAGCGCTTCAGTGACCGAAGGTTTCTCCACTCATGCACAATCCTAAGGAAGATGGAATAGCGATCCTAGATGAAGTATGAGTAATTAGTATAACTCCATAAAAACATAGGAAAGGTGACCTACTCGTATTGGCGTGATACCAGTATTGTCACTCTGGCATGCTAAACTATGATAAAACTCGTATGCTGATACTTTCGACTTGAATGAGAGCAAGTGAAAAAACTTCAAGACGCCAAAGGTTGCAGCAGTTTTAGGATCAGTGGTTGTTGCAGGGAATAAACGCGCCTGAAGTGACTGTTTATAGTGAGAGGCTTCATGTTCGCAGCCACAGAAGTCTAGGCCGACTTCATGGATACCGTGAGTGTCGATAATGACAAAGTCATCATCAAAGGCAGGCCTCGGCCAACAACATGTTTCGCCCAACCTGTGACCCAGCTGAATACGGAACCCTAAAGATTTGAGGGTCATGGCATGAAAAAATCCATCCATCCATTCCTAAAGCGCAACAAATTAAACACAGAAACAGTACAAAGGAAAATAACCAACCTCAATTCTATGGAATGGCGTATTGAGGTGTGACTGCAAGATGCATGCACGACAAGATAGAAGAGGGGACAGACAATCTTGACATCTGAATGACGGGAAAAGTTCCCCACATGAGCATGGTTCACCAGCACTCTTGCCTCGCCCTTCCAGACAAATGAGTTCATCCAAGTATGTTTCGTGTTCTGGCAACCAAAGGGCGATGGGATCATCCTAGATGATCACAAATAAGTACTGAAAACAAACAGAAATGGAGGACTTACTCCTGGTGTTCTCCGGCGCCGTGCTTGAACCAGCTCATCGAAATGAGGCAGTGAATCTTCTAGCTGAAGCTCATTCCAAGGGTCCACACTATGAGCATATTGAGACGACACTTGCTTGTCTTCTATCGCGGCAGGTTTGGGAGCAGACAGGTAAGACGTTCGGAGGTTGAAGTTGCCATTTGCCTGCAAGCTGAAGTTCCGGTGTCTGGTATTGACCTGGTCAGTGTCGTCACGACGGATGTGCTGGATAAGTTTGGGGCGCTTGGATGGGCGACCCCCACTCGGAGCAGACATAACAGACAGTTTGCTTGAAAGGTGGTAGTGAACATCCTGATGACAGCGCTAGAAGTCGCAGGGATACATCCCTATGGGTGATTGTGCGACAAAGATTACGATAATAAAAGGAGAATCAGCATCCATCCAGATGATATATCGAGTTACATAGAATGCCTCTATTAGATGGCGATATATCAAAGTGGATGAAGAACTAACCTTAAAAGTTCAACCATACGTCAATGCTGGTGCTTCATATTCACTTGCGCTCTAAACAGAGGTATGGGTTCACGTTTGAACGTTCGCTCCAGAGTTCAGGCTAACAAGATGGTGAGTAGATGCCAAAACGGTGGCAGCCCAACCAAGACCAACACGCATGGCTGATGCCTCGCCTAACCGAATTTCGACTGCTCCCAATCCCAACACCTAAGACGTTTGCAGTGGAGTTATTGAACAGATGGTTGGAGATATGGCCTGAGCAGGACATGCTTTGGCCTGAGCAGGAGGCGGAACTGACTGAAGATCAAGAGAAGGAGCTGCAATCAGCTGAACGAGCACATGGAGATGTAAGTCATACCTATGATATTCATTTGCAAGTTGATGACGACCAATCAATGGTTAGATCTTAGTGAGCTGGATGTGGTGGGCATGGCTTAATCCAAGACGCACTCGTACCATGTATGGCTGTTCAGGTTGTTGTGGGACTCCTGACGGCTGTTGTGTCAAGTACCCCAATGGCCCACCATCTCTATGGTAAAAATAGACCTTGAAGTACTCATGTTAATATGAAATTTGAACACAGTCGAGATTTTATGAATGCAAGTATGTACATATGTAAGATGAGCGTTCAACAACTACTGCCATATTTGTTGAAATAAGAACTCGTTGGCGTTATATTTCTGTTGCAAGTCCGTACCATTGACCAGAACATCACATAGAACATCTTCTAGTGCAGAGAGCACGTCCTTGATGTTTTTCGTAGCAAGACAGGCCATAGTGTACCTTTTGCCAGTAACTCCCTGCATAAGTAAGTTGTCTTCTATCTGTCGAGTCTCGAGGAAAATTTCTTTGATCACTCCTACAGCTGCCCGAAGCTTCTCCGATGACCTCATCTCTAAGTATTCCAGCAATAGGGCGTCAATGATGTCGTGAGGTTCACCTCCGAGATATGTCGTCAGGCGATCTTGCTTGCAGCGACGGGTTTTCATGTTCTTCTTTGTCAGTTCAGTAATGCTATGTACATCCTGTGAGGGACTTTGATCCTGTACAACATGGCTTGAAAGCGCCCAAAAATATAGTAATGTACTCGAGTTTGGAATAGTTGGAACTCACACCATTGATTTAGATGACGGACTCAACGACACTGTACTCAGGCTGCAGGGCAAGACATCTGTATCATTGTGCCTAACTTTTTGAGCACGATACTTGTCTTTCCACCTGGAACTGATTGCAGATTTGTTCCTATAAATATATGAGCTGTGTCATAGTAGACTCTCGTAAGTACCAACTTTAAGAACATGGACATACCGTGTATAGTGCAAACGTCTTTGTATTTGTTTAGCTTCTGTACGTTCTTCAGGAGTGTTGTATAATTTTGGTCTGCCCATCTGACGTTAACGTTACAAGCCAGAGCAAGAAAGTGTGCACTAATTGGTCAACAAATTCGTCGGACTTTTATAGGACCGAAACCTACTGAACCCCACCGTTGTATTATCTGGTACTTCATCTACTGATGAGTCTCATCTACAATGAGTATTCCTTGAAGTGAACAACCCTGAAACCGAGCTTTTCAATTGTATTGGATCTGGGACAGTGTAGATGTATTGCAACTGATCATATTTTGTCGGACTTTTACTATAGAATCTTAGCAGCATGGCCGAGCACCAGTCCCCGACACCTACTACTCAGACAGTACAGATGCAGACAACCCAATCATGTTATTCTTGTAGCATTCATCTACATAATTAAACCAAGATGGGTCCTATGTACAAACAGAAACTGAATGGAGCAGTCTGACATCAGCAGAAAACTTTGAGCAATGCATCAAACACCCATCACAATGCATACTGAGAGAAGCACACAACCAGAGACAGAGGTGGCCAAGACAGAAGTAGGGTGTGACATGGGTGGACCCAGGTGGCACCCGTACCCAATACACGGGTAGATGACACTCTGAAGGCCTACTGACGTGATGTAGATATGCAGTTTTGGAGTGAACTGTGTCATGACATGACTGCATTTTGTAACTTGAGCATTCTGAAAGAGAAATGGGGGAAAGAGGACATACCCAACGTCATCGAAGTAGAGTGCAGGCATGGGTGTGAAGTATCCTTTGTTAAGAAAGCCTGGAGATGGACGGTACGGTCAGGTGAAAGAAGATGAGCGTTCTGAAAGAGAAATGGAGGAAAGAGGACATACCCAACATCGTCGAAGTAGAGTGCAGGTGTGGGCGTGAAGTATCCTTCAAAGTAGATGAGAGCCGCTCACACTAAGTGGGTAACACCACCCGTGTCAAACCCTAGTGTCATATTTGATCTGTGCGTGGAATAGTGATGATGGCATATTGCAAATAACATACAAGGTTAGCTCCTCGAATTTTCATTTCGGTCACCTGGCGGAACATATAATGTACATGAAACACATCATAGGCTATGTGAACATTACTAAAACATAACATAAATAGCATGGCCCCTCCGAAGTGGACGTCAGTTGAACAAGAGGCATGGTTGCAACCTTGGTATGAAAAATTCAAGGCAAAACAGAGTGAAAAAAATAAGAATTACAAGAACTTCTTCGCTGACCTCGGTGAACAATGGTTCGAAGAGTTCCCAGAACCAAGGCCACGTCATATTATGCAGGTGGGACCCCTGACATTATTGGAGGAAGGCGAGATGGGCGTGGCTCGTGATGCGCATAAAGCGGTGAGCACTCATGTCATTCCCATCTATAAAATTTTGACTAATACATACACGTCAAGAAATTATCTACTCGCTTCAAAAATAGCCTAGGGGGTTCAAAAACTGGCAGAAAGGCCAAGGCTGATACAACGGACGTGATTGATGCCGTGGTTCGAAGTATTACTGGGTGCGAAAAGCCCACACATATGCTCCAGGAACAAGAGGCATACTCGAAGCTTTTCTATATGACTCGCGTTCAGCCAACCGTTAAAGGATCCCTGAAAGCTGTTCAGGAGCACAAGACACTTACCAATGGGGAGCGTGTTGCTCTTGTGAAGAAGGAGACCGCGGCATTATATGCCAATGAGTCACCCGATATCAAAGATCAAGTGAAGCAGTATCTTGAAGACCAGAAGCAGCAGCGACTCCAAAATAAGCAAGATGGACAGAACCAAGTGACTGATTACTCACAGTGAGTCCGAGTCCGAGTGACTTATAATTACGTTCAATACTCGCATATCACCAACTTACCTCCGCTTCGAAAAGAAACCTGGACAAACTTGCGGCAGTCACCAATTCATTCCTGAAAGGGCTGGCGGAGGCAACTGGGATGTCGTTCTCCCTCCTTGCTGGGGGTCCATCTCCCGAGTCATGCGGGGCGATCGATGTCTATAGGTAAGCCTGCAATGCATCAGAGAAAGAAGTTTGTATCTTACCGGTCCAGTTTTCATGTTGGTCAGACCAAGTTAGGTAACAACTTCAGCACGGCATATCCCGGGTTTGACACTGGTGTCATGGAGCCCTTCCGAGACTTTCTGCATCGAGTACACCGTGAGTTTTCGAGCCATACCAATTGTATTCATTGAACTGACTGGGGCTTTCGATCATAATAGCAGAGGCTAGTACATTGGCGTTGCGAGATGGTAGTAGCGAGACGGGTGGCAACACGCCCTCGGATCCTGAAGATATATATATGTCAGGCAGTGCACTTCTATCCTTTGAGGATGTATCGTCAAACATACCTTCGGATTCTGATGATATATACGAGTCAGGCAGTGCACTTCTGTCCTTTGGGGATGTATCGTCATCAGGTACGGGCCGCAGTATCTCCGCCTGTCTGCTATCCATGACTGATGTATCATTGTCAATGTCAGATGCCGGCGGTAGTGTCTCTGATACGTTATCCACTATGGATGTATCGCTATGGTCTGATGGTGGGCAATCAGCACAGCCCAATATATCCCTGGACCAACTCCTCTCGTTTTCTCCTGACCAGGATTCGTCCGTGACACCTTTGTTCCCTTCACACAGCGACGACTGGATAAATCCAGAATTAGATGCATTTCTCACTGAATTGGGGGTTCAGTTAGGATCAGGACTAAGCGGATCGGAAATCACCATTCCGCCAGTCATGTCTACACTTCTCCCTGCATCATCTACCACCGCTGCCACCACCACTCCCCCTCCAGATACCGCTGTACTGCCTACCGGCTCTGATCCTCTCCAACAGACTGAAACAACTATCAGCACACTTCCTCCTGCCGCTTCCACAATGCATTCATTGGACGTGGATCTACTGGTGTCTGCCTCAGGCAGTGAATGTCTTGAGGACATGGACGTCAATACCGAAAAAGAAGGAACCACACTGGAAATGCGCAGGACTAAGCGCACCCCCAAGCCCTCAACACGCAATGACACTGCAAACGCGATCGGCGGTTCTCGGAAAGAAAACAAGCACCCCCTTGCTGAGACCTCTTCAGACCGCGGATCTACTAAGTGAGTGATCGTTGTATCGATATTGAACGTTCATTCTTAACTTGACTGACTATGATGCGCAGGAGGGCAAAAGTGTGATGTATGTAGTATGTAGTATGTCGTCGGGCACTTGTTTATTGTATTCTCGCTCGTTCAGTATAACTTGCTACCATTATTTTTTTGTAATGCATGCATGAACATACGATGAATATCAGTACCAAAGATCTTAATTATCAGTGTTGAAAATCCACAACAGGTGTGCAGGAAAACAATGACATAAAACATATGAATTACACATGATACAAGCGATCCGTTCGCCTGCGTACGGCTCAGTCGTATCGTACACTGTTATCCATAGTAACGAAGAGTAAACTAGAAGAATCAACTACGTTCCCCATCTGTCTTTCTTCACTCGTGCGTAAGTAAAAACGATAAAGGTTGCGACGATTTCGCACCATGGACAGTGCTGTGTACAGTTGACTGTGTGCGAATGCATCTTGTACGAAGGTCGAGTACGGCCCGTCGGATATACGAACGCCCGAAGGAAGCGGGTAGAGTCGGCATAGGTTTTAGAAGATGGGAGTACGTTTGAGTTCGACAAGAGCCCTCCTCCACTAACGTGGGAGTCGGGGACTATGACCGTGACAGAGACCAAATACGCAAGTGCAGAGAGAAAGGATTCAGCAAAGACCACCATGGAAAAAAACGACTTGCATTTATATCATATATCAGATGTGCGAGGGAATTTGACAAGCGTTGGGTGACGGGAGGGCACTGGAGGTTGGACGTGAGGGCGGAGTCGTTTACAGGCCCGAGTGGAGCATGGAAAAAAATGCTTGTTGTCGGGAGAATGTTCACGCGTACTGATTTGAATGGGATTAGGATGGTATGGTATGCTGAGAAAGAAAAATACTTACAATCAGAGTAGAACGGACGAGAAAAGAACTAAGAATGCCTGGTTGGTGGAAGAAGGGCGCTGGATTGCAGGGAAGGATGTGTAGGCGTTTTCATGGTCTACAATCGTGCATTGTTGAACCTTTGCAGTGAAAAGACTATAAAGGCAGCTCATAAGCAGGTACAAGCACTCACATCAGATACAATCAGAGATCTGCCCGTCTTGCTGGGCCAATGGACCTGCCCGCCGAAAGATCCAATCGATGGAAGCCGACGCAGAGGAACCAAATATTGGTCCTACCGGCCAATGGGTGGACAATATCCGTGTATGGTATCCGACCCCCCCGCTTATATGATTGGTAAGCCTGTAAAGCAGCCACCGAGGGGATACATCCAATTTGGACAATGGACAAGGAAACAGGATGATGTATCAGGGTTTCTGGCTAACAGTACAGAATAGATATATCATTATGACAGTATAGACTGAATAACGGTCAGTGCTGTCTTACTTTATAATTCGTCTGAATGCTCATCTTAAATTAGGCGGTCAGACATTTATCATGAAACTACGCCCTACATCTGAGCGTCCACCTTCTTCCATGCTCCTCGAGCCACCCTACACCCTCAATGGCTCTCACTTTGACCACTCACTCACCCCCCGCTGGCGACATATGAAATATGTCGTTTCGCCTTTACTACCTCGTTCTCCTCTTACTCGTCTTCTAATCACTCTTGACAATATTTAACAGACATGCATGCGGTATGTTCTGATGAATGTCCTCATACTCTTCGCTCACTTGCTCATAAGGTGAAAACCCCTCCAGTGTCTATGGCATAACCCGCCTTGACTCTGGGTGGAACTTCCGTGCCGCTTATGACCACGCCAGAAAGCTACGTGATGTTCAAGACGCCTTCTGCGCCAAAGCAGAGTCCAATTCCTGGGATGACCTCGCGGGAAAGACATTCCCTGAAGACCTGCAATGGGAATCCCTTGTCGATGTGCTCCATGGACACGTGAAGCTTGCTGTGCATTGCTACGAAGCCGTCGATCTTGACGGAACCGTCCGTGTACGTTCAATCTTTCTTAGAATAATCCTTTTTCTAATTTATACTTGCGTGTGGTTGCTTGATGTGTGGGCATATGCAGCTTACGAATGAGTTCGAATTCCCAGTAGCATCGTTCCATCACGCTGGGGAAACGTACCTCGTTCCAGAGTTGTTGAAGAAGACGTGGGTGAGTCTTTTCTCCTTCCTCGGTGCCCGTTCACAACCTCCTTTTAATGACATTCCTTTCCACCAGGGAGGCACGCCTACCATAGCGCTCTTTGCATCCAACTTCCGGTGCGTACATGTGGATTAACTTCTGCAAATTTGCTGATGCAGTTGGTCTTGCATGAAGGAAGAAACGTGAGGCATATCGAGGATCGGAGTTCGCTCCGCGCGTGTTGGCGGAGCACGGAATGAATGTTGTCATGAAGGTTAGTGTGATGAAGACAAAATGAGCGCGGTTGTCTGGCTTTCCATACCTATCTGTGCACCACTCTAGTCCCATAGTCGAAGCGAGCCGTCGAGAGAACATGTGACAGTGTGCTGCCCGCCGGGCAGGCGCGTATCTCCCGGGTATGACCTCGCATCGTCTTACGGGGGATTATTGTTGACGTTTTTTTTTCGTCTTGGCAGTGGCAGAAGACATGATCAGTGGTCGTGGATCCAAGATCGCTGGTGAGTCTATGGTTTCAACTGAATGCGTGCCAGTAGCTGCGCATGAAGTATTACTCACGGGAGTGATAAAGACCCACAGGATTACTTCGGGACGATGTATACTGACAGCCCGCACCCAAATACCACCTTTGCCAGCGTGTGACGGTGTACTGGTGTAACATCGAGTCAATATTCCAAGTCTCATCACCCTTTGTCATGGTTCCATCCTCTACAACTGCTTCAACCGTCTTCCTTCTATATGGTCTGATTGGAGACTAACTACTGCTGTTGCAGGCGGCGGCAGTCGGACCGGTCGACCCCTCGTCAACAGGCTGCAGTTCCGCAAAGTCGAATCTTCTCTCGGCCCTTTCAAGATGTCCTTCTCGTCCACATCACAGTCCGAGGGAACTTGAAACTATGTCCATCGTTTGATGCGCATTGCCAATATCTTCCCGTCCAGCAGACTCAGCATTATGTTAGCACACCGAGCGTCTCAAATGTACTGATTTCAATATCGAGGGTGTTCAACAGGCAGCCTTGCGACTTACTATCAGTAGTACTTGGCCGTAGTAGAGAGTTTAAAGTGCCTTCTGTACCGCTCCTGCGGTTCTGCATGTCATAAGTTCTGCCCATGACACGAGTTCCTATGCATAAGATTCCCAACGTAGTCTTGGGCAAACACGTTGTAAGACTATTCTTCCCCCGGCTCTACAACACAGCCTCGCTTGGCGTCGGAGTGTCCCAAGTAGGCTTGGCCCTCATGTCCTAGTATATGAACCGACCAGATCTGGATGTTCAGGCTGCATGCTAACTTTGAGATAATACTGGCAACACACAGGTAACGAGAGAGCACCTTGAACAAACGAGGACTCGGCAATAGACATAGGATAAAATGTGGGCAATAGGTAGAAGGCTTCAAGTATCATATAGCGACGGTATGGACATTTGAGAGAACGGGTGATTATAGACGCGATATCAACGCAAGGCACGACGAGAAGCCAGGGCACGCGTTCCAACATTACCTATCTGCGAGACTGTTGTTGTTGCAAGCGGTCGTTGGAGGAAAACCTGGCAGTGTGGGCAGGACCGGGGTTTAATTGGACAGGGTTGAAGGTCTTGCCCAGTGCGCGAGAACGACCGGCCTGAGTTGACTGGGGTCCGTCGCCGTGAGCGCTGCTCCACTTCCCTGATGAAGGGCTAGGTTTTGGTACGCGAGGGCGGGGGCGCTGATTGTCCGCAGGCCCACCCAGGTTCCTGCTAGCTTCCGCCCATGCGGAAGGTGACCTCGCAGTCGATGCCATCGCAGGAGTCCCAGAACACAACGCCGGACGCCTCTTGTTGAAGACGTTATCAAATGTAGAGGGGTGATCTTGCCGGGGCGGCTGTTCGTTGTGCTCTACAGTCAAGCAGCTGTCATGCTCGCCACTGTCATTCCAGCTGAGGCTGCCGCTGTCATTCCAATCCATTTCATGGCCACAATCTGCCAATTCCTTCTCAACAACACAGTGCAGGTTGCCGTCCTGGACGCCCGCAACTTGATCTGACTGAGCCTCAGTCCCGGAAGCAACATCAGGAGTGTAAGCTGGAGCTGTACCAAAATAGCCATTGGTTAAAGGTGGGGGATGAGAGGGGAGAGGGGGAGGGGGGGGAGGGCTGGGAGGGGAGAGTTGAATGGATAGAGGAGGTGAAATAGAGAGTAATGAATCATTACAATCGTCCCTGAACTTCAAGACTGCTGAGCTGTCCTTATGTGCAGACGACAGGTGCGATGACTGAGTCCCACCCTGCGACTGGGGCGGCGCTATTGCTTTGCTAGTTGCGCAGGGCGCCTCCTTGCTTGTGGTAACGGGTGACGCGAGCAGTTCGACGTCCTTGCGACGCTTGTGTGAGGCGCCCCCAGACTCATCATCAGTGTCGACCGCTATGGATTTCACCTTGTTTCCCTTACCCTTGCGCTTCGTGGTTGGTCTAGTAGGAGATAGTGGGTTCTTAGGGGTGGCTTTGGTACGGGCCTTCATTTTGCCAGGTTTGTTCCTTCCGGTGGGCTCGGGGTTGACGTCCATGGTGTCATGATCGTCAGTGGAGTCATCCAACTTTGGCGTTGATGCGCCGACAGAAATCAAATCTCCCATGGCGCTACCGTCATCGTCGAACATGCACCCTGCAGAAATACTCGTCAGCCAAGGCTCCCTAGGTAGTCATAGCAGACCCTTACGGAATTCCTTGTCAGCACCAATAAATGCCTCATGCATTGCGCCCTTCGAGAAGGATATATTATTCAAAAAGACGTCGGCGGTCTTCAAGGCAATGGCTCGGTAAACGTGCACCTCTTTAGCTTGAGGGTGGCGATAGATCCGCCCACGCAACTGGCGATCGTCCTGCTCTGACCAAAGGGTATCCTGTCATAACGATCAATTACATCTGAAATATAAACACCAGAAAAACACACCCACCATGACTACCATGATATTAGCGCAAGCCAGATTTAAGCCCACCATACCTACGCCTGATAAAATCAAGACGCGCGCTCCGTCGGGCCGCATAGATGACCGAAATTTATCCAGAATGTCCTTGCGCTTCCCCATGGGGGTCTGGCCATTAAGCTCCAGTGCATGTATGCCGTGAAGGTCCAAGATCTGGAAGGGGGGGTTGAGTCAATGCGCCGCCGTGGTCGACCATGGGACTCACATCTACAATGGCCTGGTTGGAGGTGACGAAAGCCGAAAATATTATGATTCGGTCTGGCTCGTCTGGGTTGGTATTACCAGCTGCAAAGGTTGGGTTAGGAACCAGGTGGCGACCGCTTTCATCCATCATCAATGGCCGGCGACCGTCAGACTCCAGATGGTACTTGAGAAGCGTAGCCAACACGTCCAACTTCATACTTTTGGTGTTAGGGCTGGTGTCCCATTCCTCCAGGGATTTCGGTTTTGTCCACGACCGCTCCTCAGTTGGGTTCATATGCGGGTGAAGGATGGACCGCCTAAATTCAACATAGAAATTCTGCACATTGAGTTCACAGTTCAGATAACAGCTCAATGACGCGGCAGGAATAATTAACTTCACCTTGCTCATCCCCACAATGGGACAGTCATCCAGGTATCCGCGCGCAATATTCCGCAGATTTTCCATCTCCCAGTCAAGCAGCTTGATTTTCAAGCTGTGATCATGATAGGGAGGGAGGCCCAGGATCTTATTCCCTGTATTGTCAGTGGAGTCTATGGTGCGAAGAATGACGGTAGGGGAGAACCACTCCCGCATCTGCCCCATCCATTTTTTCATTACAGGCAAGTATTCCTCGTGGGCAGCCTCTGGATTGTGATTGCCCACAAAGACGGCTCGTAGGATTGATCCCTCAACCCCGGCCTCCCTCTGCGCCTTACGATCCCTCCGCTGAGCAGCTGTCAATTCTCGGTTCATGGTCCTGAGCTGCGTGATATTTTTAAATTGCTCAATGCCAAGTAGCAGGCCCATATTCCAAAGGTCCTAGTGTCCATGAAAGGCAACGCCAGTCACAAAATCAGTGATGTCAGTTGATCGATGGCGTTCAAGGCTGGCTTACCGCAGGTTTTGTGGTGACTGGCGTTGCAGTCATGATCACGGTTGAGTGAGATCTCCCTTGAAGTGCCCGAGCTGCGGTATGCGCCAGGTTAATATTGCGTAGGATGTGACCTTCGTCGATGATACTCGTGATGTATTCATGACCGAAGAGGGTACTAGGACTAATCCGTTCAAAGCGAGGGCTATGCATCGGCTGCCCGTGGCTGTCCCTGTCGCCCTGAATGAAAACTGTCGCTGCATCGTCTTGTGCTGCCTGCCCAACATCACGGTCAATTTGGTTTTTGCTAATCACCCGCAGCAGTCACCTACATTTGTCGTGGCCAAGATGATGCGTCGTATTGGAGGTTGCTGGCATTTGGTCCAAGCCATCGTCCACCACTGTGACCGTGCCGTGTATTTGCCGGTGTAGGGAAGAACATCAAACGTCGCCCGCCTTAGATACCGTTGTATTTCACTCATCCATTGATGGTGTAAGTTAGGTGGACTCATGATCACGGTGGGTAAGTCTGGAATGTTGCCGCCGGTCTTCTTGCAGAAACGCTGGGCTGTGGGTAACCGTCAGTGCATACAGCTCTTAAGACTACTGTATTACATACCAAATTTTCCAGGGAACTTCCCGTGCTTCCTGTAATGTTCCCTATAGTGTGCAAGGCATGCGATCAACCCAACCGCCTGCATGGTTTTCCCAACCCCAACGCCATCCATCAGCATCACCGGTCTACCGTCCAACACCCTGTCGATCAGCCTCAGAATGCCGACTAGCTGATGCCACCGAGGCGCCAGGTTCTGGGCTGGACTTGCCGGATTATCAAGCCATATCTGGCCTTCTTCGCTCCACGGATCAACAGCGGCGTCTGGATCAGATCTCGTCTGGAAAAAAGGCAGTTTCTTCTCCGGAAGGCCCAGGTCTTCCCAAAGCTCATCCTCGCTGAGTTTGTCGTATTCCTCTACACCACTTTTCCAGTCACCCACATCTATATTCTCCTCGAAGTCTATCACCACCTTGTCACCTTCGAGCGGCACCATCGCAGCTAGCGTGGCCTCAATGAGAAGTTCGAGCTCCTTTACTTCCTCTTCAGTGGCCAACCTGTCAAGTGCATCTCGAAGAGATTTAGGCAGCCCTAAAGACTACCTTCAGCCATTTGAACACGTGTCAGCCGAATACTAGCCCACTAACGTGCCACCGATTCTGCTTGAGCGGGATTTTTCTTGGCAGCGGCCAGCATTGTATTGACCTGTTCACGACGCGAACTGAGGTTCTTGACCGTCTCCTGGTCCTTGAACACGCTAAGAAGTGTAACTAAAGCTTCCAGTTTCTTCAGGTAGGTGCGGATGCTGGCTATCGTGGGTTTTGCATTCGTGGCCGTCATGGCTGCGTTAAGGTTAGCCCCCCGCCTCAATCGACTAACTTGCGTGGCTTACCTCGCCATTCCTCTTCCACTTCCCGGATCTTCTTCTCTATACTGGTTGCCTGCCTTTTGAGAACCTTCCTATACCTGCTCCACGTCAATACCAACAATGTGGTGACAAAGGTCATGATGGGCGCCACAAGGAAAGATCCGTCGGTGAAAGCATCGTCACCGAACAGGGCATCAGCCAATTTGATGGCAACAACCTGCTTTATCTGTGCAGCTTCCATCGTCGGAAACTACACGACTTTATTATATTGTGGGGTGAATACATTGGCACATAACTTACATCGTCCGCACTCTTGCAGTTCAACCGAGCCATAACATCGTGGGGTTCGCAACCACATTCTTGCAAGATGTTATCGATCAATGTGTTGATTTTCCATTTGGCCCATGATGTCTTTACCCACATATTCCAAGAGGAACGACCTTCATGATCATTATCTTTCCGTTTGACAGCGTAGTGGAGAGTAGGATCCTGAGCTGCTTTACAATTGTTTATGAAGACTCCGACCGCCTGAGCCTTGCCCGCCGTCCATTCAGTGACATGAGTTGCTGCAGCAGATTTATCCCCACCATGGTTATACGCCCACGGGTCGCCAAGAACGTTCGTTAGAGACTGCCATACCAGGTTGGACCATGGCAGCGTCGAATCGGCAATCGAGAGTTGGATGAGAGCAAGAGGGTATGGAATGGAGGGCATTTTGGGCGGATTGGATCAACATATCGCAAAGCTCTTTTATGCTGCCCACCTTTACAGCACATCCCACGCGAGCTGCTGTTCGGGACACACTTCCTTGTGATGAGGACAGCCGCCATTGATCTAGTAAAAAGTTCCCGTCCAGGTATATCCGGCTCCGAACTCGTCTGACTGATTTAGCCGGATTCACAGTCTCTAAGCGAAGCTATTTCCATAATCGCTGCACGCGGTGGTAGTGGCAGACTCACTCTTTCGGATGGGTCCGATTTGGTTAGGGTCTCTAGCGCTATGCACATCCAATTCTGAGAACCAAGCTTAATTAGAACCTGTCTAGCCCCGCATAAGAATCATCCGATCATTGCATATGTATATTTACCGGTTTGGGACGTGTTTTTTCAGAGTGGCGCTGTACTGGGGACGACGCTCAGGACAGGCTCTAAGTCCGTGGTTGAACCTACTAGTACCATGAGATATCATTGCGTGGGAACTATAGAGGGGTTGGTAACATAACAGCGCACGGCTCGAGCTGCGCAATGTGGAAGGATAAACTTCTTGCGAGACTCGTGTATGGCGTGCTGTTATTTATGGCAGGTTCGACGCTACTGGCACTAAGCAACGCCCCGTGCCCGAGATTTCATCATCACATAAAGTACACCCTGACGAACATGCCTGGCACTGCAGCCCGAAGAAACCAGACGAGCACGCCTCGCAAGATGAAGCGGTGAATCGAGCAATGATATTCCCGGAACAAGCCGGCGAACAGTGTGATGATTGCATTCCCGACGGGGGACGTGGGGAGGGTCGAATATGAACATTGTCCTGAATAGAAGGCTTGCCGTGGATCGCTATGCCTGGTTGAAGGGTAAAACATTTAGCGAACGAGAAATCAATATCCAGCGCTCGAGTTTCTAAACCCAGTAGACAGAGAAAGTCTTGCAGAAGACGTTAACAGCTCCTAAAGAAGTTCTGAGTTGGTCGTGGATGAATATTTTCGAGGAAGGACTTCGTTCGTTATTCCAGATGCTGAGAGAATTGATCCAACTTATGAGAACGCGGTTTATGTTCTAGTAACTTTGGACTCACAAGTTGTATTAGAATGACATCGCAGACATTGACCCGCAACGCATACAACAGAAGATTGCGCAACTAAGCAGTGGCTGGCTCGATATTCTTGAAGCAGTTTCACACTCACCAACAGACGCGCTAAAGGTGAAATTATGTAGCAGCAAATATGCTCGACAGCATGCCGAGCTAAGGAACGTGCAGGTGCTTTGTCGCCTTGAATAAAGAAAGACAACCAACCCCTACTACGTGTAAATGAGCTGACATACCATCGAGGAGGCAATAGCCACCATGTCTCGGCACCACGATCACAACGTATAACGCTGCCCAATCCATCATGTCTGCTGTACCCTCTATACGAGATATCAGTCACCTCCATGGTATATCGGACACGCAATCCTACCACCAGGGCCGAAGAACAGCAACTCTGGCTTTCTTTAATCCCTGGAGTTTGGCCAGGAATGAGTAGGTCGATGATGGCTTAATCGAATAATTAATATCTATACATTGGTGCATAATTGCACACTTACATCGACATATTTCTCTAAACAACGTCTAGGCGGCGCTCCAATACTGCGTGAAAGGTATATAAAAATGCAAAGATAGGAAGTGAAATCACGCACGGAGGTAAAATAGTACCCTTGGCGTCTCCTTCCGGAATGTCCTTGTTTTCAAAAATTGAGTGGCGGCTAATCGGTAGTTCTCATCGAACAACATCATCTAGTTGATCGAATAGTTCCTGGTTGCATAGAACTCAGCTGCAGGATTCCGAAGTCCAGAAAAGGCGCGCGTACCGTGCTCCTTGTTCCGCGACATGAGCGGGCAACATCTCTGAAGCGGATGTGGAAGCCACGGAATTCATTTCCGATGATGAACATTCCGAAAGGTTTGTTTGGCGGGGGCGAGACGGAATGACAGTGCAACCTTCGTGAGTCAATAGAAATTCGTCTTCAAAATGTGCCTACGGAAAGGTCAGCTACTGATCAATCATGAACTTTCAGACTCACTTGTTGAAAATTAGGAAACTTTCTAGAACTTGTAGATCCTGCTTGTTCAGGACTGTACGTCTGGTTTTATCGTACAACTCAGAGTCAGACCTGAGGGGCTGCGTGGTTGAATATTAGGGACGTTCAAAGTTGGGCGCCCACGCCCAACGCCTACACCCACGACCCCCCTTGCCCATATACCACTTCCCGTTTTGTACTTGAACGAATGTATTATATAATCAATGATAACTGACTACACTTAACACTGTCCCAAAACACATCACACTCAATGGCCCGTTTTCGAACATCACGCGAGGAATACCTTCACTCATATCTCTTGCTTATGGTTCTACGTACTGTGTTTCGGCCAGAAGTGACCCTCGAAGAGGCAGCAGCACAGCTGCACTGTGACTTATCTTGCACTCTTGCTATTCAACAAACTCGTTATCTACAAGAGCGCTCCCCTGTGGCAAAAGCTGGCACCCTACACATTGCTTGGGAATATGCAAATTCTCCGTCTGACCACTTTCGCTTTATTCATATGCTCCGCGTTACATAAGTAACATACTATTGGCATGAACATTACCTATCTTGCTACTTCTTGCTTCCTGGTACTGTATAGTGATTTACCTTCGAACACTCAGCCACGCTTAGGGATCCGCATGGGTAAACCTGCGGGTGTCTCAAGGCCAACCCGTAGACACGGGTACGGGTATGGGTGCGGGTGTGTACCTGTGGCGGGTGTACCCGCCCCACCTGATCCCAGCAGCCACCAGTGCTTAGCGCACACGCCCAGTGCACGTCGGCGAATGCTGACAAGGCTCAGACGTATGCGGAGGACACTGGAGAGCACCAGAAGAGTGGAAGGAGGGACGAGACAGGAAGAACGAGATGGAGGGTAGGATGCAGTGCATGGCGCGAGTGGTGGTAGTAGGGCATGAGTGGTGGTAGTCGCACACTGTAAAGTTTAAGATATTAGTAAACGAGAAAAAAAACATGCGCACCTGGAACAAGCAGCGAACGACTGAGAGCAATGAGCAAAAGATTAGCAAGCGAGAGAGTGAGAACTCAATCACTACACCCCTACAAGAGTTAGCTTGAAGGCTGGGAATTGGGTGCTGGTATTGGTGGTTATCATGAGATGAGAGTCAAGTGGTGGTGAAAGTGTGAACACAAATATTTGTAAGCACGCTCAGCAGTACCCGTGTGGGTAACGGGTACTCAAGACTCTGACCCATACCCATACCTGTGACCCGCGTGGGTTACCCATACCCATGCGGATCCCTAGCCATGCTTACCTAACAACTCCGTATGGTATTAGTAGCGGTCTTCTTGTGTTTGTTTATCCTCAGCGTTTGTTCTACTCTCGCTGAGGTATGTTATCATCTTGTAGCTCGTTTACACTTGTACTTACTAGAGCTTAGTCTGACTTGCTCTAGGTATTTAATATAGCATTTGTTCTACTCTCGCTGAGTCTGACTTGCTCTAGCCATTAGGTTATGAGCCCTGCGCAATAGCGCAGTAATTCAGATTAGAACAAGATTAGACTCGCGTTTGAAACACTCAATGACCGACTCATTTCAAATTCCTCAACCTCGTTACTTATGTCGCACCCGAACCTTCCCAGAATCAACTATGGGGAAGTTTGATCATATTAATGAACTTCTGGGTGCGGATTCCTACCCAAGTTGGAGAAGGGCCATCAGACTCGCACTAGTGGGAGAAGGACTCTGGAACCACTGCAGCAGTGGTACAGATCCTAATGATATAGCTGAGTACACGAGCTCCATGCCAAAACCTGTCACAGCAGGGCAACCAACCGCGGACGAGTTGAAATTAATGAAAGAATGGATTAAAGAAGATGCCCAAATGAAGGCTATCATTGGGCATAAGCTCTCACCAATCGTACAGAACATCCTTGATGAAGGACTCTTGGCTCGAGACCAATGGGAGATGCTCGTGAAGAGATTTGCGCATCTTGACATGACCTTGCAGTACGAATTATGTTCTCAATTATTCATGGAAAAATTGAAAGATGCTGAGGATGCCACTCGGTACCTCGGAGTCTTCAAGAATGGTTGTCGTCGCTTTGCCGAGATGCAAATCGCCTTCATGGACGAAGAAGCCATTTTTATGTTACTTAATGGTCTTCCTGACACCCCCCAATGGGTAGTCTTTCGCAGTCTAACCATTGGGTTGTACAGCTCCGCAAATGTCATCGCTTCATCATCATCCACAACAACGACCTCTCCAACCACGACTGTTTCATTTGAGCAAGTCGCCACATCCTTCACGGAGGAGGCGAATCGTCAGCAGAGTCATCTGAAGATGGCTCGCCCTGGTTCTGAATATACGAACGTCGCTAACGCAGCGTCCTGGGGGCCCGATCGCAGAACGTCCAATCTTACCACCGGTGTTCGCATGCACAAACATAACCCAAAAGGGTTACCTTGTGACAATCCGGCCTGTGCAGGCCTCCCGCGCTCATTGACTCACAATCAAGTTCATTGCCTCCAGCCAGGGGGTGATATGGAGGGCAAGGCACCTTGGGCACAACAGAAGGGGAAGCCTAAGAAGGACGTCTCAGCTTCTGCGACCGAGACGAAGGCAAACGAGGATGCACCTGCCGCTGCCACCACTCAAACGGCAGCATCTGCTGTAACAACAGAATTGCAGCACCGTCAGAATCTCTCATTTGCCATCATCGAAGAAGTTGATCAAGATTACTCACATCTTGCGCTTTGCTCTACCTCCACAATCCTTGAATCTGGAACAACCTCCACCCTCATCATGGATCGTGACGTTTTCTGGACGTACTCACAGAACTCTTTCGTCAAGGTGAAGACTGCCAATCATGGCTATCTGTCAACTTCAGGGCACGGGGATTGCATGGCAGACTTAGTCATCAATGGGAACTCTTTCAGAATCAGATTCACAGACTGCCTCCACGCCCCTGGTGCATATATCAACTTACTCTCCATCTCTCGCATGCTGAAGAAAGGCTGGGCCTGTCACTTTCAACCATTCCCACCGTGCTGTTATCTCACTCACCAGGGGAAGCTGTATGGCACTATCCCTGAGGTCGGTGACCTCTTCTTGGTCAACCTCAAGTTTGTTTGTCCTGATGAATCCGTCCTTCACACCTCACCTTCCGAGATCGCCACATTCGCTCGTGTCGCATTGACTTGGGACCTGTGGCACGCGCGTCTTGGCCATATTGGTGGAGATGCTGTTAAGCGCGTGCCTCTGATTGCCACTGGAGTGCGGGTTGATAAAGACGCACCTCTGCAACACTGTGAACCTTGCATTATCGCCAAGCACCCCAGGAAACCTTTTCCTCCTTCACAAGAACCACGTGCTGCTCATCCGCTCGACATCATTCATTCCGACCTATGCGGTCCTTTTCCCATCATGATGCCTCATGGCAAACACCATTTCATCATTTTCCTAGACAACCACTCCCACCTCTTGAATCTACAGCTCCTTGCTGCCAAGGACCAGGCTCTAGAAGCTTGGTGTGTCGTCAAAACTCACTGGGAAAATCACCTGGATCGCGAAGTCAAAGTCTTCAGGTTGGATAATGGAGGGGAGTTTGTTAATGCAACTTTCACCAGGGCACTTCAGGATGCTGGGATCGAACGGCAACTCTCAGCCCCATATGCTCACCAACAGAATGGCAAGGCTGAGAGGGCCATGTGTACCATTGAGGGGCGTTTGTTTGCCTTGTTGGAGACGGCCAGTCTTCCAGCAACGCTATGGGGTGAGGCCGCACTTACCATCTGTTACCTGTGGAATAGGTCAGAGTCACGAGCATTACCCCCTGGGACAACACCTTATGAAGTCATCAACGGAAAGAAGCCTGATTTGTCGCACCTCCATGTCTTTGGCTCACGCTGCTTTGCACGTATCCCAACAGAGATCCAGTCTAAGCTTGGCCCACACTCTCGTGAGGCCATCCTCATGGGCTACCCTGACGGGACGAAAGGGTATCGTCTGCGTGACAAAGTCACGGGGACTTTCTTCGTGGCACGCGACATTATCTTCAATGAGAACTTTCCTTCCATCATGCACCACTCCGAGTCTGATGACGAGCCCGACGATGACTCCACTCCTGTGCCTGTACTCACACCTACACCACTCAGCATCGCCTCTCCTCCTGCTCCTGCCTCCCCTCCACCAGCAACTTACAAGGAAGCAGTCTTACGTTCTGACCATGACGACTGGCTGGAAGCCATGCAAAAGGAGTTGAATATCATGGATGAGATGCGAGTCTACCAGCTCACCACTCTTCCCACAGGGCATTGCGCTATTGGCAACCGCTGGGTCCTCGAATTTAAAGAGGACAACAAGGGGGGGCCAGTGTACAAGGCTCATCTGGTTGCCCAGGGGTTCTCCCAAATCCCTGGCGTCGATTTTGGTGCCACCTTCGCTCCAGTCCTGAAAACTGCCTCTCTCCGCATCATCGCTGCGCTCGCCTGCAAAAATGGCTGGGACCTTGATACCTTTGATGCCACTCGCGCATTCCTATGGGGGGTGCTGAAGGAAGACATCTACATGTGCCAGCCAAAGGGGTTTGAGGATGGCGACTGGCATATCATGGTATGGAAGATGTTGAGGACGATATATGGGTTGAAACGGTCGGCGATGGAGTGATATGAGGAAGTGTGGGCCATTATGGAGGAATTGGGCTTCACACGCTGTGTTCATCTTCAACTGTGTTGATGCTGGAACTCGTACGTTTTGCATTATTGGCTGGCACGTTGATGATAGCCTAGGCACCTCGAACTCTCCTCGTTTCTTGGCATACATCAAGGGGAGTATTAATGCACGATTCGGCATCAAGGATCTTGGTCCAGTCGACCGGTTCCTCGGCATTCAATTTGAATGTGATCATTCGTCTCGCTGTCTTTGGATGCATCAATCTGAGTATATTACCTATCTCCTCGAAGAATATGGGATGCTTCAATGTAACCCCGTTCTCCTTCCTCTCAACGCCAACTATCCCTTCGGATGTCCCTCAGATATTCATCCTGTCATTCCCAACCTCGCTAGCAACTTTCGCAAACTCATCGGGGAGCTCCTCTACCTCGCCGTCTGCACTAGACCTGACATCTCATACTCCATCAACTCCCTCGCACAATTCAGTGCGAATCCTTCGACTTCTCATTATGCAGCTGTGAAGCGTCTGCTACGCTACCTTGCTGGCACCATCAGCTTGCGACTACACTATGGCGGGGAATGTGCTGACGAACTGTTGCACGGCTACTGTAATGCTGATTGGGCCAGCTCACCAGAGGACCACAAGTCCATCTCTGGTTATGTGTGGTTCTTTGCCGGTGGGATTATTGCTCACGTTTCGAAGAAGCAGGCCACCGTCGCATTGTCTTCCACCGAGGCCGAATACATGGCCATCATGCACATCATCCAGGAGGGATTGTGGTTGAAGTCTCTTTTTGTAGCACTTCATTTCCCACTTACCATGCCCCTCGTCATTCACATGGACAACACTGGGGTGATCGCACTGTCAAAGGAGGCGCGTAATCACATCCGTTCAAAACACATTGACATGTGGTATCATTCCATTCGTGGCCATGTATCGCAGGGCACCTTCGTTCTCACTTGGCTGCCATCTCACACCAACATCGCCGATATTTTTACGAAGGCTCTCGCACACCCACTCTTCATGAAGCATCTCGCTGGGTTGTGTCTGGTGTCTCGGTGAGGGGGTGTATTGGCATGAACGTTACCTATCTTGCTACTTCTTGCTTCCTGGTACTGTATAGTGATTCACCTTCGAACACTCAGCCACGCTTACCTAACAACTCCGTATGGTATTAGTAGCGGTCTTCTTGTGTTTGTTTATCCTCAGTGTTTGTTCTACTCTCGCTGAGGTATGTTATCATCTTGTAGCTTGTTTACACTTGTACTTACTAGAGCTTAGTCTGACTTGCTCTAGGTATTTAATATAGTGTTTGTTCTACTCTCGCTGAGTCTGACTTGCTCTAGCCATTACATACCCCAAATACACTGTGCCCTCGGAGTTGTGGTCGTATTAGGTCCATCAGCAGGGACATAGCATTCAAAAAATTTGTTGTCAGAGATGTTGCCATTCGCATCAGACTGGACACCTTCACCAGTTGTCTGGAGACATCAAGCATGCACCTTGTATTTTTTTGTTAAGCTGCATGATGGACTTGTAAGGTAGAAAATAATGAGAGAAGCACAACACTTGTCGGAAATTTCTATTTTTGGTTGGAATTCCTTAAAATGGATTGGAAGGCCTCAATTTGCCGGCAGTGTTACAACTCGCTTGGAAGAGAACCCGAAAATTTTGGAAGCCGCTTGGAAGCGATATAGGGGTTCTTGCAAGTGGGTTCAAAGACCATTCCAATGCAAAGGCAAAATTTCGAGCATTTCAAGCGACGAGTGTCCTTCCAAGGCTTTAATAAAATTATGGAGTCTTTCAAGCAAATTTGGATCATTGTAATACGGTGCTACTAATTTAAATAATATGCTAATTGTTCAGATTCTCAATTCCCTTCCAATCTCTCCCATTTCTTTTTCAATCAATAGTAGAGTCGCCTTTACAATCATATATCAGTAGGAGCACCCGCTGCAGTATTACGCTGTAGATAATATATGCATGAGACACCGAAGACAGCGATCAAAATAGACTGAACGCACCTTTTGACCCTGTGCAAAAGGAACTTCAACGACAGGTGGCGCTGCGTGATTGGGTCGCCAGGTGAATAGGTGTCGTACATGTAATGTGGGCTGTGAAGGTCGTAGGACTCAGAGTAGCAGCAAGTGGTGGGGCGGTTTTGTGGCCATGACATCCCATCATAGTGCACGAGACTAATAGTTTGTCATCATGGATGGTGGAATCTGCGCAGAAATGCGCGCGTTTGGTGTCTGTCTGTAGCTGGAATGAGGATTAGAACTCTGAAGTGCGATATAAATGCTCACCGTGTGCTGTCCCTCATAGCACCACCCATCAGGAGGACCCATATCTCCTGTCCCTTCAACGCTCCCTCCACAACAACCCCACAATGTCTCATACACCGCACGATCAACGAGGGCACTTTCATCATCATGTGGAATCCAGCAAGACGTGTCTGTATTTGAAAGGTCAAAGAAGGAGGCATGGCAGCACACACAATGGAGTTGTGGTGGCGGGGAGAGTGCACTGAAGAAGTGAGTTAGGGCGGTGAGTGTGCGTGGGGAGGGGGGTGCCTGTGGCAGATTGGAGGTGGGGCAGAGGTAGGCGAGGGTGTACGTGTGTAGCGTCTGCGGAGGGACGGAGCACACAAGGTCATGGAGGGCTGTTGGATCTGTCACCTCAGAGTTGGGCTCAGACTCGGTGGTGCAGGAATTGGGCAGTGGAGTGGGTGAGAGGGCTGCTGGAGAGTCAGGGTGTGAAATTGAGGGAGAGGGTGTGTGTAGTTGGTCATTGTGTGTTGGTGAGGAATCGGGCTTGCGAGTGAAGAGACCGAAGACCATGATAGAGAGGAACATTGATCTGAATATATCTCCTGGTCAGTTGGATGGAACAAAAAAAAACTGGCAGATAATGAGAACAAAGGAAGGATGGTAGACACGATATCTGAAAGCTATGAAATTATAATCTGGAGCGGCGGTGCTGGTGTGGGTAGAGGTGGTGGAGAAATTGGACGAGGACTCCTTGTCATAGCAAGCCTGAGTTTCTTAAAACGCATGGTGATGGTGGAGTGCCAGACTCGTGATTGTAAGTCATGTACATCAAGTTATCTTGGAGAGTCGTATGGTAGTGGTCCATGAAACAACATGGGTGGGTGTCGTGGATGGTGAGATTCCTGACCCTGAGCGCTGCTGAGGTCGTGGTGTGGAAATCTGAGACTTAGGTCAGTAGCGAAAATGTTGATGAAGGAAATCTAAGTACATGTGAAAAGAATACGGTCATCACGAGCAGCAAGACAGCGGCGGCGAAGTGGTCAATGGCTTTGTCATAATGCGCACCATCCAAGGCCTTGGTTCCAAGCTGAATGCATAGATATGCCTAATGTGTGAGTTGCAAAGATCAGTATCCATTATCGAGTGTAGTCTAAGGCGCATGATACTTACTTCCACGACATGCTGCGTGAGGGTCTCTGAATCAGCTAAGTTTAAATTAGAGTCTTGACGTACCATCAAACCTCTGAACAAATAGCATAGTAGTAAATCAAAGGACCTGAATCAAGTGAGGGCAGCATTTGGCGTTGTTGGCGAGCTAAGGAGGTTACCTTAGACTGTCATGATGGAGGTTTTCCGTCAATGAATGAGAATGAGAAGAAGTTGGAACCGAGGGAAACCAAGTTTCAATGTGCTTACATCAAGCTTACATGAGATTTTTGTCATTGGAAGACAATTGCATTGTGATGCTCTAAGTGTAAGCGCAAAATATGACAATGTATATAGAAGAAATGACAGTCAGGGCTGTCACAGTGGCCTATTTAAACTTCTTTGCCATGCCTGTTAGACCTCCGAACTCCAGTATTGGCTGATATTAAGTCTCCATCAGCAGCAGCAGCATGCTTTGAATTCCCTTTCCGTTTTGGTTTTGGTTTTGGTTTTGCGGCCGAAACACCAGAATCATCAGCTACTGGCTCATTAATATTCTCTCAACCGTGCGCCAAATCAAGAGCTTCCATCGCAGTAGATATTGAAGGTTCCACGATAGCAGCTGGATTCAGATCTGGTTGCATAACGGGTCCAGGACCTGCCGTGAGATTGGGCGCGACAGATGATGATCTCATCAGAGAAGGGGGAGCACTTGCAGGCGGAGTATTGGAAATAGTGATTGGCGGCTTGCCTTCCTCATCTATGGCACGCTCAAAGTCTAATTCCCACAACTGAGCTGGGTCCCCTTCATCCAGAACAGGAGCGGGAGTGAGTGAGGAAGTAGATGGAAATAGGGTCTGGTTGAAGAATAAAAGAACCTGGCGTGCCCAGGCACCTCCCATCATCAGGCGTTCACGGTAAAAATCGTGGTAGGTGCGATATGGGATTTTAGCTGTCTGGCCAGTTTCAAGCAGTTCCTTGTCGCCTGAAAACATGTAGATAGCCTAGGGTAAGAGAACATTGAGTGATGGATACTCCAACATGAAGCTGAGTGACTTACGACAATTGCGGCGGCAGCAATCATGCCTGGTGTCGTGGCTCACAAATTCCAGATCTTGGCCTTCGTTTTAGAGCTTTGCACGTTGGAGGACAACGAAGTCTTGCCGTGGATGGACACTTTGAGGATCTAATGTGAGGCATGACTTATTATTAGATCCTCGTAATAAGCACTAGAGAATATGAAAAAAATGTACCTTAACCAGCACAGCTGACTTCAGGAAGTTGTTGGGCAAGAGACTGTTTGGACAGGGGAACAATACAGGAGCGAACTTGGTGTAGGAACCATGAGGAGAACGGATAAGGATGCGGCATTCTTCTTGCATGCCTTGATCATAACCTCGAAGGAAGAACTCGGGATTCAATCCAAAGATAGCTCTAGCGCATGTCTTGATGTCTGAAACCATTTTGGAGTGAACATTACCAACACCTTTTGCAAACTGAAGAAGTCAGATATTGTCTTGAAATAAAGAATATTGACCGCACTGACATGGCTACCAAAGAGTTTGTGATTCATCGTTTCCCGATCCGCTTCAGGAACAAACAAGAATAACTCAGCTTTCACACCATCTTCGATTGAAAGTGGTGACAGCCAGCGCTTCTTACTGTTGATGTCAATGTCGGGACGTGCACGCAAGGGGAAATCTGAGGGTTGATCCATAAGCAATGTGTGATTTAGTATTTGCGTCCCAACAGCCTTATCGCCTCTCCCTTGACGGCTAGCTCAAGTTCATCACGAGTGAGTTTCTTCTGACCTTTGGCTGCTGAAGCTTCCAGAAGCGCATTCTGCTTCAAGAGCTCTCGCTGCCGGCCTCGCATATTCAACAGCAGCTTCTGTGCAGTTTCTAGTGCCTGGATAGCCAACTTATTAGAGACTGTATACGCCCAGAAAAGATTGAGACAGTACTTGCCTGATGAAGGTCTGCAATCGAAGCATTGTCCCGTGGAGGTGCAACAGCAGCACGAACCTTCAAGAGTTCCTCGTCTGAATCTAATGACAAGTTGTCAGAGTCGGAACCAAAGCCTGCAGTATCGGAGCTGCTCTCCATGACTTTGATATCCTCTGGTACATTGACATGGTGCCTAGACATGCTAATAGGGTAGCAAGAGCAAAGAAAGGTTTGATCTGTGCGTGCAGAATTCAGTTTACAAGACTGTCCCTTATATCAGTTCTGAACACGTGTCACACACCATTTGATTATGTAGTGTACTATGGTGAATTTGGTAGTGTGAACATGCACTATCCTGTATGCGCAACAATGAGGTGCTGATGAATAATGAAGTTTTCGCTACTTTGAGGTAATAAATTAAATAGCTCACCTTTCAGCAGGGTCAAGTCTAAGGGTACCACATTAAGACGTGTACATTATTAATAAATTGTTGATGCGAGAATGGTGCCAGATCAAGGGCAAGCTGGTGTAAGAGACTTGTCAGATGGGTGTCTTAAAAACAAGCAATTCATGGGAAGAGTACATGATGACGGCCCCGTTGAAGTACATGATGACGGCCTCGTCGAAGTACATGATGATGGTTTTGTCGAAGTACATGATGACGGCCTTGTCAAATAGTACATGATGATGGCCTCATCAAGGAGTACATGATGACAGCCTCGTCAAAGAGTACATGATGACGGCCCTGTTGAAGGAGTAGTCTGCCGGTCTCCAATGAGGCTGTTGAATGGGCCCTGCTTGGTATGCTTGGTATGCCAGGTGCGCTGGAGAAGCTCATGAGCGCTCCATTCATGGTCATGAGCTTGGAAGCTTACCTGCTTCATATGCCAGCTCATTGACCTATGGAGGTGGAAAATCAATCCATGGAACGCTGAGCACTAAGGGCAACACTCATGCACCATAGAGGACTGGCAATTCCTGCTGCATTTGGCCAACAAAATTGGGTCTCGATTGCCCAAAGGAAATCGCCATCACCAAACTATGTTAATAATTTCACGGATGTAATTTCCGATATGATGTAGATCTCACCTGCTTTTCATAGACTGTATGAAACAATGTATCCCCAAGGTGGTGAATCATGAGCACCCCGACAATAGGTAGAAGAGCATCCGAATGAGGCGCCACCATGTAATCTGGGCACTAGAACATATACAATGAGACGAAACAACTGATTTTGCGGATGACTCACATAGATTGGAGAGATCTCATAGCATTGGTGTGCCATATAACCCATTACTAAGTAACACTCCGATTCACTAAAACCAACAAAAGGATGCTGAAATAACAGGTTAGATAGACAACGACAAACCTGGGCGTTCTGTAGAAAAGGCATCAGCATATGTCACATGCACAATATCAAGTGGGAATAACATACAGGCAGCTGAATTACTTGTAGCACCCGATTCATACTGGGCATGTACAAGAAAATTGGAGCTGTGAGATTGGCTGTTACCATCGACTTGTCAGTGAGAAAGAAGTGAGTTGCATCGAGCTACCTCACATTGCAAATCCATGGGAAAAGGTGGTGGGGAGTTGGAGGGCTGACGAATGAAACCCTCAGACTTTTAAGAAGTAGCTACATGGTAAAGATGATAGCCTGTTACTTGAAGATAGTGATGGCCAGATAGTGATGGCCAGATGGCGATGGCAAGACAGAGTTGAATGAAAGCTGCACCAGGATCAAGAAACGACTCAATTGCGTGCTAAAATAAATGAAATCAATTGGTAGCCAATTTGGTGGGCCAGCTCGATGATGGCGCCAGGAATTATTAGCGAAACCTTGAACGTGCCAGCCTCAAGTTGGGGTTAGGAACTAGGAAATAGAGTTGCACTCAGCATCACATCGGCACATGCATCACTAATTTTCATAATCAAATGCATGGTGAGTAAACATGTCTTCAAGAGCCTCAATAAGTGATTCTGTGCTTCCGTTTTATTCCTGTTGAAAAGGATTCAACTCCTCGACACCAATGTGCTTGTCCTCTTTATCTTCACTGTCAACAGGAGCTTGCCAGTTGGTTGTTTCCCTGAAACCTTCCCTTTCTGAATATTCATTCTCTGCTTGGGTTTGAACTGAGCAAGGTCTTTCTGGGGTGTTCACTTCATGAGAATATACATGGCCCACTCCAAGTCCGTAATGGAAGCACATCAGTGTGTCTCGATCAACAAAGCTAGAGTCGTATTATTAGTAAATATGAAAAAAATAGGTAAGAACACTCACCTGTTGACGTAGTACTCATACCAGTCATTTTTATCTCCTGCAAGAGGAGAGATCCCACATTCGTTGGGATTGTGTTGCCCTCGAGAGAAGGCTGGTATGATATGGCATGCCCTAAGAACAACTGCTGGGTTCACAAAGCCCAATTCATTATGATTTGACAAAGGCATGAGACAAACGCGGCCTAAAGTGCGTGTCTCCCATGAGTGACTTTGTATAGATTCGTACCATCGAACAAAGAGAAATTCTATTCAGCAAGATTCATATATGTCCCCTATGCAAATAACATTGACATGATGTATGCCGAGGACTTTGGAATAACAGTAGTTGTTACAGAGACCATCATTGTGATCATCATGGCACTTGAGTATCATAATATTGCAATGAGGCGTCCGTGGATTTATAATGTCTTGCGCCCTTCGAATGTTGTATGTAGTAAAGTTAAATCTTGCGATGTTGTGGTGGTATATTCTGTTACACTTGAAGAGAATCGAGTCGCGTTCTTGAGTGAGACGAGCTGATTTCTCCCCTGGCTCGAGGCGATCCAGAATATGGTCCTTTAATTGAGGCATGAAGTCCTGAGTCCCATCTCAGAATGATCTCCATCATAGTAAAAGTTACTTACCTTCATAGCAGTGTGACAATCATATTGGTGCTAGGCATGTATACCTGCATAAGCCTTGATTAGGTGGACCAAAGTTTTCCCTCAAATTATTCACTACTCCCCTATCAGCAGTCTGCACTTGTCTCAGCCATAACCCTTGTCCGACACTAGTCCGCACTTTCCTGCACTATGCGTGCATGTTCCCACAGCACTATCCATGTTCCTGCGACTTATCCTGCGCTATTCCCGCACTTATAGCACTATCAAAACTACCAGCAATGTGTCTATAGGTGCATCAGTGCTTGTCCACTCTATCTAGTGCTTGTGCCCACACTTAGCGCTTATCCAGCGCGCTGTTCTCGCGCTCTAGGATCCCTTCGGAATGTCAGAATCCATCATTGTCCATCCTACCTCATTGGTATGTAATTTGCCTTGCCTCGAGTTGTAACAAGTGCTACAGTCTTATTACATGTATATCCTATCCCTTCCGAGTCCGAGATGGTATAGTTTACTAGTATAAGAAGCCTATGGTGATTACTTCAACACTACTTCCCTTTGACTGTATTTCATTCCCATTAGGTTTTACTTAGAAGTAGTCACCTTTAGTTGCGCTCTATAGCGCCTATTGGTTCCCTTATACCTGAACCCTTGCCTTGACTTTCCTTTACCCTTGCAATCAATACCTTTGACTTCACTCACTACCCACTACACTCTTTACACTCCCTATCCTATACCAATGCATTAGCGACCCGATAGCGACCATCTACTGACCCGCACTTCCGCTTTTCTCGTGCCATAGCGCTCTATAGTTGCGACATACTTTCCAGTGCACTAGCGCTGTATCTTGCGATGCGCTTTCCCGTGCTATAGCGCACTTTCGGGTCTTTCTATCTTAAGTTGTCCTTAGTAGCTTTTCCCTTTGGTCAAATGTTCTTGCTTTATTGTTTGCAAGTATAGCAGCATAGGCAGAGCTTAGACATATACTGGCTAAGTACCTTTACAAGTGCCTAGTCAGGCTGTGTTTTTCACAGTGGGATCTTTCATGTGGCTGTGGAGGTAGTGGCCAAAGTCATCGTAAGTCTTCTTGCTTTGGCCGATATGATGGTGCAGTTGGGGATCACTCGCAGTTTCGTTTACCTCTGCACGAGAGGCTTGCTGTTGTTGGCGTTGCTTGATGTGGTGTAAGTGCGTTTGACGGCGCTCGATCTGCATCAGCTGGCGAATAAAGGCTTTTCAATCAGTACGACGGTACCTGCCTTTCGGTGTATGATGTTCCAATTCTCCCTGACAAAAGTTGTGTTAGAATATGGAGGAGTAGTAGGTTACAACTTACTGGTTCAGTGCTATACAAGTCCATTGTTCCAAAACAACGGATGGAGGATACGTAATCCCTGAGCACATGGAATTTGTAAGTCTGAAAATTAAATGACTTCATCCTCTGTGGCTGCTTTGGCGTAAACGCATCCTGAGAACTAGCTTTTTCTTTCGCTTTAGCGATGACATCTGTCCTAGACTTTCAAGCTGCAGTCCCTTGACCCACAACATCTGCCTTGCCATTTTCTGTCTGTTTAGCTGCTCTCTTTGCTTGCCAGTGAGACCATGTGTCAACTCCACGATCGAGTTCCTGAGTGTGATATGCAGCACAAACTTTCATCTTAAACTGACAAAACTTTGCGCCAAGATCAGTTGTTCATTGGTCGAGGATCTCCAGGGTCAGGTCAGAATGCATATGTAGTTTTGCAAGTCCATGCCAGTGAGCCATGACGAAAAGGAGATCCAAAACGATTTGGTTGTGATCATTGGGAAGTAGGCCATCAAAAACTGGGATGGAACACTTGAGCAAAATCAGTTCATGAAAACTGATGAATTTTTTTTGCGTATACATACCTGTAACAGGTCTTCGAAGTTTTGCGCAGCCATGTTCAACATTTTGGACGTGTTTGCAGAGAATTGTCTAATGGTCGCAGGTCCAAATGGGGGACCTGCCTGTACCTGTCGAAGTTAACTGAGTGTTAGTCCATCGAGCAACCATCAAGGATAGATATTTGGCGGACCTCCTATCCAGCTCATGGATCAGATCTTTGTTCAAAGTGCAAAGGATTCTTAACAAATGAATCAAAAGCATACGCCACACCCCAAGCTCAAACTCGTGCAGAAGATCAACCACAAGAGCAACAAACGCATTGAATCTGAGTGAGCCAAGGCAATCTGAAAACATGTTCTAATCGAATGTTAGTAAAAGTGGGAAAAGAAGTTGATGACCAGGCTCACTGATGTTGGAACCCATGAATAAGGCTTGAGAAGTGTCTCGACTGCTGTGCTGTCTACACTGTGGTTCTTTTGTATATAATGTTGCATGCCATGGCAACCAGCTTACTCCTTGATGCATCGGAGCGCGCAAGAGTTGTATGCTGCTGTCTATCATGCCTTATTCCTAGATTATGAAATTGTCCCATCGGTATAAGACATCGCAGGCAAGGACAACCTCCCAGCTGCCAAATAGTTGCAACAAGAACCCTAGGTTTCATGAGCTGCAATATCATATCTTACAAATGGTACTAATAACTTACTTCTCAAGATAATCCACAGAATAAGTAAATATTCGAGGGTAAAACCTACGTGTAATGCCGTCACAACAGAGAATCACGATGTCATGTTCATATGCCTGTAAAAACTCGGGATCAAGCAAAATCTTCCATTGAGCTTAGAAAAGTTCATGATGACAGTGGGTTGCACATTCCTGGCCGACTCCCTTGCCTTGGGTGTAAGTACCTGCGAAGTCTTTGAATGAGTCAGGAAGCTGCTGGGCATCAGTCTCAATGCAGGAGAGGATAATTGATTTTGAATGTACCTTTTGAAAGTACACCACATGATTACTCAAATTCCAGGATGGTTTACACTGACGGTACTTTGATTTGTTCCCAAAGTACATATAAACCGGCCATAGTTTTGTGTTACTGAAACTCGTCAGATGTGTAGCATCTGACCAAAACATGAGTGCAACAACCAAACGGGGGTAAATTGCATCCTGGCTCTCCAGGGGACTCCTGAAGATTGTGGTGCACATCCATGAAGGCTGGGGAAGTGTACAACTCTCCTTGAATGTTTACTTCATGCTGAAGGTGGGGGGGACTCCATCGCAGTTGGTAAGGCTTGTAATGAAAGAGCTCATCGTCCTGAGAGTTAGAGAGCTTTTCCTGAACAATGGAAATGAGAGGGTGATGGTCAAGTTCAGCTGTGACATAAGGTCAAGCATCTGGCTGAGCTGTTGTACAAGAAAAGGGTACTTCGATTGTCACTTGGGTTTTACACCAACCTGCATCCTCATCCTCCCATTCACCTCTTTCGTCATCATCAATACTCGCACCTAATTGCGAATTGATCTTGTCCCATGACGTGCTTCATACATCATTCAGGTCAAAATCAGGACGTCCAACAATGCTGATCAGTTCCTTGAAGCTCTGATGGGACTTAACATGCAAAGGTTTACACCATATCCTTACCATGTTGGTGTACAAGTTCCAAAGCACTGGCAAGCTTGGACAAACTGAAAATTTCATCTGTTGAGGTGGGAAATTTTTTCATTTTGATCAAACAAGTGGCAGTGACAGCAGTAAAGGCAGTGGCACGGAGTAGAAAATGAGCTGGGTGGGTAAAAGAAAGCCAAGTCCAGCCTGGCTATTATAAGCTGTCGGCAAACTTCACACATTGAAGCTCTCTCATTGGTTGATATGAAAATAATTCAGATTCCGGTTCTAAATGGAGTATCCATACACTGCTCCAAGGCCACTGACGTGGAGTTGAACGACCAAAAAAACACAAGGTATGTGTCACTGATTTGGAATTATGACATTCATTTAGCCTTCTGCCAATTGATAGATGCCTGGAGCATCATGGATGACCCACCAGCAGTCTGAATTCCTGAAAAGTAAGGTGGATGGCTTTTGCCTCAGTCAGCTGCAAGGAGAAGTGGCTGCATACTGTACTAATGCCTACCGAGAGTGGTTTGAACGATGGCCAGAAATCGCAGAGCATTTCAAAGATGATGCTGGTATTACACTCATAGAAAGTCAATTGACAAATGAGCAAATGAAGCAGTTGGGTGTGCTCACCAAATATTGGCAGTTGGTATGTGTCACATTTCAATTTCATTTTGGTTCACTAACTGTAATCGTAATAGCAAATACGATCTTATTTGTACCATGCATCCACAACTTCAGGAAGGACACGCATCATGCTGTTCACTAAAGTAATCACCAAAATTATGGGTGCAACTACTAATCGCAGCTGAGGTCCATCGGCCATTGAACACTTATTCAGACAGAGTACAAGGCCAATCCTGAAGTCAAGGCTGAGATTGTGACTCAGATACAGAGCAACAACGACTACAAGGACAAGCCTTGTATCTCCATCCTTTGTTCAGAAGCTGCAAAGTCCATGGCTGCTCGTGGGGAGGAGTTCATGCATCACATGGAGATGGAGGCGAAAATTGAGTGTGCTCGTCATGTGGATCAGGCAAAGGCTGATCTTGACGCCATCTGCACACCCACTGAGGTCCTGAAAACACAGCAAGTATTCAATGTCGAGTACGTTGAGTTCAGATGCTGAAACCTGTGTAAAGATGTCTAGAAGGCCTCAGTGGAGTGGTCGGGCAACTCTTAGATGCTATTCATGAGACAACCGGATGGCATGGAAGTGTCTACCTTGGGGGACCTGATCCACAGGTGAACAGGGAGGTCCATGTCTTCAGGTATGTGTACACAGATAATTTTTGGCCAATGTGCTAATATATGGGACAGTTTCCATCATTGGAAGGGCTCTTCTGGTTTCAATTTTTGTGATGCGCTGCCTGACCACCATGGGCGCATTGTTGAGCCATTCACTGCTTTTTTGAAAGGTGCATTCAGTAAGTATACACTCTTCTGCCTCAGACATTGATACTGATAGATCTGCTACAGCTGCTAACACCTGCCATCCTTCAACGAACTCAAGTGCAACTCCTCCTGCAGGAGAATCATTGGTCAATGAGACTTCACACAGTGTCAGCCCCGATATTACCATGCACCCTGATGTCACCGCACTAGCCACTCCACAGAGTTCTACTCCCACCCTTGAAGGCCCGAGCCGTGATGTCGTGCTTCTGGATGGGATCCACCAAACCCCATCTGTGCCATTGTTGAATCCCTTGCTATCACTGGAACACTTACTATCTCTTGATCCTAATTCATTGGATTTTTCACAGGTGGATTTTTATTCGTTCAATCTACCAAGGCTTCCCTCCCTACCTCCTTCACCTGTGAGTTCGGATCTACCAAGGCTTCCTGCAGCTCCTGGGAATAATCAGAATTCGCCCATCTCATCCTGGAATAGGGATGCTGCGCTTGGTCTCATCTCACCTCCGCGCCTTCAGAGGATTTAATCTAAGAGTCCAGATAAACCTCACCCACCTCGCCCATGTCCTCTGACCAAAGGGACGAGAGTCACTTCTCTGTATGATCAGTTCGAAGCTCATCCACTCTCTGCATCTGCGACGCCTCTAGTGTCTACTGAGGCACTTGGTGCTTCTCACCATCCTGCAATTCCGACGGACCCAGCACCTTTGACATCTCCTGTTACTTCCATGGACTCAGCACCTTCAACGTCTCCTGTTACTTCCATGGACACAGGGCCTCTGACGTCTGTTATCACTTCCAAGGATGCAGTGCCTCTGACATCCGCTGTTACTTCCGTGGATGGAGCACCTCTGACATTTGCTGTTGCTTCCATGGATGCAACACCAACTATTCCTCAACCAGAGTCTTTGGACCACACGGCATCCCCCATGTGCATTTCTGTTGCAGTCACTGTGGGAAATCCTGTAGAGGAGCAAGGAATGAGGTCTATTGAGACTCCTCTAGCGTGATAATGCTGCTTGATGATATTGTCAATCAACCACAGTGTCGTAGTATGCATTCCCATGTGCTGTCAACTCGCTTGGATGAAGCCAACCGCATTGGTAGTGATGTGAATGTTCCAAAGAAAGGATGGAACAGTAGGGCTCATAAGTCACTCACTTAGTACTACTTGTTGGCACTTCGTGTTACACTCATTTTTCTTGTGATATCTTGCCTATCTTTTGCACTATCTGTTACTGTTGTATTGCTCTGTTTTGTGCTGTCGTAAAATAATCAAGTAATGCATTGTTTTTGAAGATATTCAGTGATGGTGGGGACTTAGACTTTTTGCTTCGCTATGGCATCAAGGCAGTGGGAACTGTCAAATGGTAGTGTAAGCGGGGACTTAGAATTTTTGTTTTGCTGACCAGGCACCAAATGGTAGGGCACTAGTTGATGTATTGATATAACCATTCAGGAACCAAATAGTAGTGCAAGTAGGGACTTGAAATTTTTGTTTCACTGGCCAGGCACCAAATGGTAGGGTACCAGTTGATGTATTGATACAAGAAGAATACAGAAATATCTCAAATCCTAAGTAGTACTAGTAGGTACGAGTCAGCCTCGTATTGATACAACTGAGGAAGCTGGAGGTTACCAGAAATGGGCAATTAATACCGAGAAGCATCTGGGAGCGTCCCTGGGAATTTAGATGAAGGCAAAAATAGGCACAAGTTGATGTATTAATACTGAGAAGCATCACCGAGAAGCCAGAAATAGGCACAAGTCACTGTATTGATACAAGGAAGCATCCTGGGAAGCCAACAGAAGCCAGAAACAGGTACAAGCCAGTGTATTGATACAAGGAAGCATGTATGCATACATTTGTGGGGGCTGAGGATCCTTGCTAAGTATGCATTCATGGTTTATTACAGTACCAGGACTTGTATTAATACTTATGACAGTATAGCCTCGATACACCATACAGTTACCGAAGTCTTTGCATCAGTCAAATGACGATCTGGACATAGAGCTTGTGAGCTCCCCAATCTGAACAAGCAAGTGGCCGCAACATTGGCTGTGGCTTGAAGACGTCAATGAGAAGCTCTCTAGTCACAGGTGCACTTGAGAGGTTGAGGTAGGTAAGTCCACCACATGTGAAACACGGCATGGAAGATGCTATTTCAGCCAGATCTTCCGTGGTGAGTGGAGATGGGAATGTTGGTCACCATATAGTGTGAGCTCCCAGACTCACGCTGCTGCCGGTGCACGAACGGGGAAATCTATGATACTGGACCCAGTTATTAGATGAACACACGGGGCCAGCGCAAGCGAATGCAGGTGAATGGTTGAGCCCCCAAGAGCAATGAGTATATTCAGTGTGACACTAAGGACGCAAAGTGACAAAATGACGATGTAATAAAATGGACATAGTATGCACGCAAAAATGAAAGTGCCAGGGTGTGAAGTGTGTAAGTGTATGGGAAGGGTTGAAAGGCAAAAGTAAATGTAAATGTAAGGCAGGATTGAAGCATGCAAACAAAAGGGAGATGCAGGAGGGACAAACCATGGACTTCCTCTCATCATAATAACTCCCCAATCCTTCGATCTCCTCACATTTGGTTGCCGTCGCATTGGCACTTGCCTGTGTGGACTGGGGCTGAACGGCAGGCGTTCCAGGGTGCTAGAATGTGTGTGCAGATGGTGGTGACAGGGTGAGGGCATGAAGTTGCGTGAGGGTGTCAATAGTCTAAGGTGCGAGTGTGAAGTTTCATGAGGGATGCGTCAAAAGAATAAGGGTGATGGTAGACAAGTGACGAACCTATTAATAACCAGCCTCTGCACGAATTTCCTTCATTCGAAGGAATATATCTGTGTTGGTCATATTAACAACCAAGAACTCATTCACTCTCGAACTATCCTCTGCCAACACACAACCGCGGATTATTAACTGGACCGAAAAGCACTCAGCAGAGGCTCTGGGCTTCGCCTTGACTCGCCAAAATTTGAAGTCTTTATCCTTCCGCAGTCGAGTGCCCACTGGTTGATCGTATGGGAGTGTGAGTGCAATAGGATAATTGACATCCCAAACTATGCAGGTGAAGACTAACAACAGTTTGGCAAAGATGGGACCAGATTCTGCCTGCAGGATGACACAATCGTATCGAGGTGATCCATGGAACATTGGATTACACCAGAGAAAGTCCACGGAAATTCACCAGTCAACGAGTGACTCGTAGCTGACTTTGATGAATCTGAACTCAGTTATCTGAGCAAGGGTTAGATATTATCAGTAATGTCATTCAAGGGCTGCAGATGTTCAACGCACCATGTCATTTGCAGCAAGTTGAATATGTCTTCCATTGGGAAATGGTATACCATTAGCGGCGAATGCACGATTCAAAAATTCATTTAGTTTGATCCGGAATCAATCAAAGGCTGCATCGCCTGCATTAGCTGCTTCGAAATCTGCAAATGATTTTGTTGCCTGCCGCGAACCAAGACTAAAATGCTGCACGTCAGTTGGTTCAGTTGATTTGAGCCCATCCAAATCAGCCTCCAATGGATCAGGCACGATTGATGAACCGAGATTCTGTGCATCAAGGCACTCCATCTTGCTACGAATGTATTCCACAACTAAGCTATCATGGTTGTATTGAAGAATCTTTAAAACATGTTGCTCTATCAGCACTTGATTCACATTGTATCTAAGAAGCTGGTGCATTACCTGTTCTGCGAAATTCTTGAAGTTTGTGCGATCTTGATAAGCGTCCTTCAGTGGGCCGTGCATTTTCTCATTCGGCTTCGTATTGTAGTTTCGAGTGACGCCCTTTGCCTCGATGTCGTCAAAGACATGAGCGGAAAGATGCATCTTGGGAAAGTTCCATGACTTCTCTGAGAGGTCTGCTGTATCTTTGATATATATCTGACTCGTCAATCTGAATTAGTAGCATCAATTGACGATATACACAACAAAACATACATCCATAAGTTCAGTAAGTTCCGACAATGTATTTTGGCCATCCCTGATCGTATCCTCGGTATGGACCTCAAGCGATGCATACATGTTGAATTCCACGTAACTCCGAATACAATGAAGCAGAAGGTAAGCCTGTGGGTCCAGATCACGTTTGAATACATTATGGGCAGCGAACACAATCAGCTATTAAATGATGTGAATAATTGATCGAAAGCTTGAAATTGGATACACATACCTTCGATATATCCTCGTATTTTGTTCCATAAGCAAAGGATATTGATACCACCTGGTCAAAATGATTCAAATTTCGCCAACGTGGAAACGATTCGAAGCTGGCAGTGTAAATTATCATCTATGTACCTATTACAGATGAAGAAATACTTGCAAAGCGTCAATTAACACTGCAGCTTGCTGACCAGAATTGGTGATCCATTTTTGCAATTCCGTCCACAGGTGATCAAACTTTCCCTCATCGTTAAAATGAAGTTTGTCAAACGATAAAGCTCGGTAGACAACAGTGTGCTCCATGGTGTCAAATGCACTCTGATGGTGACAGTGATAATATTAGACAAAACGAAACAAAATCGAGGTGAAAGACTTACATTGACATCACGGAGGCTCTCGGAGCTCAATACCTGTTCTCGTACTTCCACTGTCGTAGAGTCTCAAGCCCAAGCACGTAATGCCTTTGCATCTCCAGATGAGCGAAGCCGATAGTGCTTGATCCCTTGGAGAGCTCCTCACGAGGAATGAGGCAGACAGGGCAAGGAAACTTTCCCATGAGTCCACGAATCAACGCCATCACGACTCTATAATAGTGAACAAACATTCAGGTTCAGATATTACTTAGTAACATTTAGATCACTCACTGCTCTTCGTAGTCTGCAGATAGTATCAGTATTATTGGATAGAAAGTGCGGACAACATCGTCCCAACATTTAACAGGAGATCCAAGCTTCGATAGCGGCGCGAGACAAGCAAGCAGCATCAAAAACAATGTATGCCATACCGCATTTTTGAAATTGACGAAGGCCGGTTTTTTGAAATGTTTCTTGTCTTCTTTTACCTATTGAAGTGCCAGTATTAGTTAGTGATAACACAATCATTGAGTAAAGCAAAAGCTACTAACAATGGGTAACCAACCTACAACTCACCCACCACCCAAGCCCTCACCATTACGAACAGCAGCAGGAAGATTAGCACACCACACAACTATCGGATAACCTTTTGCATGACCAAAGGATGACAATTTGGCTTTGTCTGCGTAGAGAACAAATGCAAGCGGTTTGCCATCTGATGGTATCTTCGACTGTTATGATATTCAATTAGTATACCAAGACGCACATTGAACTCATAACATGAGTAATAGCACCACATACTTGATGTTCCCAGAAGGTATTAGCAGTCCAAGGCTCATGAATATACCGAACGAATTTTTTGCCATCGAACTTTGAAAGCTGTTGGGCATCGAAAATGAAATGTGGACCAACTTCAGGATCTTGAAGTAGGTCCACTGCCCAGTCCCATAGTGAGTGATGAAAAAATGGAAAGGTCTGATCAACACCTCGGAAGGGCACGACAACCTCTTCCTTCGTAAACTATGGTATTCAAAGTAAGGACATATTCTACACTCAGAGTGATTGAATACAAACAGGAGTCAGTTTGAACGAGGCTGCATCCCACATGTCTTGCACGTCTTTACGATTCCAAAGCATAAACAACTCGCATCTACTGCGGTGAATGAGTTTGATGAACCGGTCTGTCTGCTCATGAGTTAGCGCAGCTTCATGGGCAAGTTCGGCCACTTCAAAGTCAATACGAGTGCGAAATGGACACCAGGGCTCAGGATCAACTTTTGGAGGTGCTGCTGGGGCACCAGGGCCACATCTATAATCTTCGAAGTGGTAAACTTGTGTAGGACACCCGCTGTTGGGGTGATACCGGACTTGTATATCATCAACCTCAAATTGAGATACAGGTGATGCCATTCTGGACGGCAGCAAACGATCTATAATACAGATGAAAGTTGTAAACTCGGATGCGCAGAATGTTTTTAAGACATACCATGTTCAGACGTCTGTCCTATATCAGTATCATCTGGATGACTGAAGTTGATATCGATATTAATGTCCTGCGAATGATTGTAGGCAGCTTATCAGTGGTTGAATGAGTTAGGATCAGTGATTAAGGTCATAAGACAATCACGACTCACTAAAAGCAGATGGTCTCTCACCAGCAAAAACGCTACCTTGCTGTACATGTTCTCTCTCTACAGTGTGTTTACATTTAGTATTTTAGCGTGAAGCCGTAATGTCTGAAACAATGAATATACCTTGTCGAATAAGCCTCGCAAGCTCAATGTCCTCTCTTCTTTGTTCGTATCGCTTCCAGCAAGCATTCCCGTGTGTCCGGAATCCTTGACAATGGTATTGTGTGTTACAATATGAACATGTCCGGGGTGTGGGGTCAGGAGGCATCAAGATCGGTTTTGATCCAGTGGCAAGTCCAAGATTCAGACGCCTGGTAAAATTCATTGAAGGTCTTGTTATTAATAGGCCTGGGGTAATAAATTAAATACTATGAAGAGACTCACCTGTTTTTGAGTCTTCACAGAGTCTGATGGAGAAATGCTGGGTTCAGACGGTGAAGTTGAGTGTGTGATAAGCTTTGAGGGTCTGGATATTCGTTCTAACATCATTAATACTAAGAATCAGTCTAATAAGACATGGCAACTGTGATAACGCACCTTGTATAATAAACTATTGAAATTGTGCAATTTGACAGTCGAAGTGGTCTGAGGTGCGACTTGGTGTGTCAAAAAGCAGGATCGAGGGCAAATTGAGGGAGGATGGTGGTAGGAAGCAACACTGTAACAGCGACGCTAAGGACAGGTTGTCAGCAGTCAATTCCCCTTGATCTGTTCATTTAAAGATGCGATAAAACTGATAGAACCAATAAAATCTATTTATAGTATAGACAGCGAAAACAGGTGGTGCATCAGCAAACCAGAGGTGTATTTGACAACCCTGGACAACCCTGGACAGAGTCACAGAGCCCACAGCAAGGGTTCTCTCTGTACAGCCCTATACAGTGCAAGTGTGACATTGTACAGAGCTGTACAGAGCTGTACAGAGCTGTACAGAGTGTTAGGTACTTCGGACAATACAATACAGAGCACAATTGGGTAGGCCAGACAGGAATATCACAGAATGCTCACAGAAAGTGCACAATAATTAAAACCAAACAAATCATCATTGTGTTGTACTACAAATAGGTATCCTACGGAAATACTAAAACACGATCAGTCTAGTTGGAGCTTCAAGCCCCAATCATGGCGCCTGTTTGAATCATTGCGAGTCAGAATTCTGCACGGCTGTCAACAAATAACACAAATTAAGAAAAGCTTGACCTGTACCCTGCAGCACGAGCCCATTTCTTTCAGGCGGCCCGGCATTTCTTGGCGTGATAGTGGTCCTTCTTTACATCATTGTAGAGCTTGATGACATTGTCGTAGATCGGTTGATATAACTCGGCCACAAATTTCATTTGCTTGTAGAAACCAGTCTTGTATTCGTCAATAGCAGCAGCAAGCTAGTTAGATGAGTGGGCGAAAATAATTATGAGCTTGGGATCACGTACCGCAGTCGCTGCGAGCGCGACAGCACCCTTGGAAACAGCATCAGCGAATAAGTCTGGAAATGTCTTCACGAGCGCATTCTCGCCCTTGTAAAAATAGGACATACAGAAGCTGCCCAGGGCCTCGTTTGCAAGGTTATTGGTCCTGTCCTAATACACACGTCCAAGTCAGTAAGTGCGCGGCCGGTTCTAATCAACTAACCAGTGCATCCACTCCATCCCATAGGAAACTACCATCCTGCAACAATGTTTTGACATTATCACGTACCTCCCGCTCACAGTCATCCTCATCGTCAATATCATGCGGAAGAATTTCGTAGTGAGCTAGAACAATTGGACGCGCATTCATCTCAGAATGCATAGTAGCACGATTGTCCCATAGCTACAGAATTCTCAGCATTGTCAAACAGAGTAAGAACAAAAAATACCAAGACTGCCCTATCTGATTTGTGTTCATCCCAGTATCCATCGTCGACACCTATACCTTGAGATCCAAAATCATCGAGCGTTTCTAAGATATATTCGATGGCCTTGGTTTGGAGAAAATCGCTGCGCTTCGACGCTGTGCTAGTGAGTAAACCCAGGTGCGATTTCTTCTTCGCGGCCTCTAGAACGTCCCTCCAAGAAGGAGGATAGAAACGAATATTCTGTGCAGTTGATTTGACCGTCCGCGTTCTCTTGCATGGTACTACAACCTCCTCTTCTTCGGAAGGTTCAGCCAAATCTTGAGTAGTAGCATGTCGACGTAAATGCTCGAGCTTGTCTGGGTTGGGTATACGAGGGCGACGGTTCCTTGTGTGATGATTGTTGAGGACATCTTTGGTATTTCGTGAGTTACCAATAGCTCGAGAGTGTGTGCGAGTAGCTTCGTCTGCATAAGTCAAGCAGGCAAGTCAGTAGCACGATGGACACAAACACAGGATATCTCACCATTGCTGCTATCATCTGAGGTGTTGTGATCCTTATTTGGGTTGTAAAGATCAGGTCCGCCACCAACATCCTGGTCCTCCACATTATCAATGCCATGGTCATAGTCCGCATACACACCATTCCACTCGTCCGCATCAGAACCATTAGCGTCCGCACCAGAACCGTTAGCATCCGCATCAGAACCATTAGTGTCCGCACCAGAACCGTTAGCATCCACATCAGAACCGTTGTAGAGACTCGCGTTTCTGTGGGCTCATATGGGCTCATATTACGAATTCTGATGACTGGCCTTCACGGCACAACTCGCACCATCACCCTCTAGTCATTCCCTATAGAGCGCACCACTTCCCGCGGAACGCGCCATAGGCGCGACACTTTCCTGCACAACGCGCAGTATTCCCGCGTGCACGCCTTGCGCGCTTTCTCGTGCTTAAGCGCACTATGTCGCACAGCATCCAGGAGCATCCATCCATCGTCCAACCAGTCCCTCGGTATGTCCCTTTTCGTTATCTGACCATATTTAGCATATTACACTTCCCATTTCATTATGCACCCTTACTTTACATCACCTTACCTCATTTACATACTTAGAGCGCTCCCTATTCGGCTCCGAGCCCTGGGAGAGCGCTTAGGTAGAACTTACATACACTCATGTTCGTTTTACACCCCACTTTACCAGCTTCCTACCACCAGCTTCCTACCACTCAGTATCTATCACCAGTTAGTTCCATGCAATGCATGTGTCAATCATCATTTTGAGGCCCTAGCATCAGTCTATAGCTAGTGGCACTATCAGTATCCGTCTAGATCCGCACTTTTCCTCATATCAGTCCCAGTATACATCCTCTACACTTGTGCACTGCTTGCACTACCTTCCTGCGCTTTGCGCACTTTCGCACTTCGCTTTCCCATGCGCGCCTTCAGCACACTTTCTCGCGCTTTCACCACCATTCACCAGGGTTGTTCAGCATCATTCCGTGGATCCTTGCTTTCCTTGCTTCCCCTTTAGGGTCGAACGTTCTTGCATTCTGCGAGTATAGCAGCTAGGCAGAGCTGAGACTCACTTATACTGGCTGAGCACTCTTCTTATATGTGCCTGCCAGGTTGTGATACCCACAACTGGAGCCCACCGCGAGGGGGCCATCTGACACAGCGACCAGTTCATCCCTAGACCTTTATACGACACGCGCATTTATGCACTCCATCTGCGCTCCTCCATCCGCACTTTTCAATCTGCGCTTTTCCACGCCTAACGTGACCACCTTCGCACCATGTACGACCCCCTATATTCATCCGGAATGCCCCTTCAAATAGCCGACTCAGCGCCGCGCTTTGCAGGCGATGGTACTCAGCTCGTCAACTTCCTGGAGTCAGTAGAACGACTCATGCAACCGCTTGGTTTAACGGACAAGGAGATCATTAAGTATGCCTTGAAGTATACAGCGCCTAAACACAGGCAGCTTCTCTCATACCGCGAATTTGACAACTATGTAGAATTTGCTGATCACATCTTGGATTTTTGGCCAGAATGTGGTGTTTGCCACTATAGAAGCAGCACCGTGCACCTTGTTACTATACCACCCAGGCGCTTCAGCTGCATTTAGGCGCCTTTCCATCGCATTTCCGCACGCTTATGTTACTCACAGCGCATAGAGGCATAGATGTTGAAAGAAGATCAAAGAAAGCAAGTCGGATGGAAGTCCGCATAGATTGCAGCGCGTTTTTCCGTGTTTTCCTTGCAGTTTTTCTTACACATAATTCCTTTTCTTCGCATCATATCTAGGACACCCAGTGGGGATTGGTTTGGACATAGATTGGATCGCTCCTCAGGCCCCACAGCATCGTGTTTCACCCCCGGACGTATATTGGACGTAGACACCATAGCGCAATCATTCCGTCACACTCAGTTGCAGTTTGCACTTTGCGCATTCATCCCCTCGTGTTTCCAGCACTTGCGCTTTTGTGCTGTTGCCTTCCGCATTGTCGCATTTTGAGCAGTCGCCTCATCGCCTTTTTTGTGTTTCACATTGTCACATTGTCGCCTTTCGCTTTGCCGAGTTTCATTTGCGTTTCACATTGTTGCGTCATTGCACTTAGTCGCACTATCATCCAAACACAAGCACATCATACTTGCCGATCATCATCATATACCCTCATCACCGACTTCGCTTGAGATCCTCACCAGATGCGCTCTGAGTGGGGACACTCAGTATTCAAAGTCCCCAGGAGATGTAGAGACTCGCATTTCTGCAGGCACATATAGGCACATTTCGCACCTTTCCACAACTCATGACAATTGGCCTTCAATGCACAACTCGCACCATCAGCTATATTCGACTTCTATCATGTCCCTAGTCGTTTTACACATAACGCGCAGCTTTCCCGCGAAATGCGCCATAGGCGCGGTACTTTCCCGCACAACGCGCAGCATTCCCACACGTGCACCTTGCGCGCTTTCTCGCGCTTAAGCGCCCTGCATCGCCTATCATCCAGGAACGTCCGTCTATGTCCACCCACCTCATTGGTACGTCATATGCCTTGCCTCGTGGTTTGTAACAAGCATTGCAGCATTATTACATGTCATTACGTATTCATAGCGCTTATTGCTCCTATCCCTTCCGCTTCCGATGCAATTTCCATAGTATAAAGTTTGCTGACTTACTACTCCATCATTATTACTCCCCTTTGCTGTACTTCCCTCGCTATTGGGTTTTACTTTAAAGTAGTAGTCACCACTTGGGCGCACTTTGTGTTTCCAATGGTTATCGTTATCCGCCTATACTAGACCTTTATCCGCGCTCGTTATAACACTCACTCTGCATTTGCACTCACTTTGCACATCCGCTTCCTTATCCGTTTCCTCATCCGGTATTTTCCGCACAACGTGCGCCTTAGCGCTCACGTTCCCACGCTCGCGCTTACCTTAGTGCACTCTCTCGCGCTTCGCGCTCACTTCGCTTTTCTTCTTGCGCTTTTGCGCATCCATCGCACTACAAGGGCCTTTCTTTCATCTGGTTCTGTGTTCAGTAGCAGTCCCCTTTAGGGTCGAACGTTCTTGCATTCTGCGAGTATAGCAGCTAGGCAGAGCCAAGACTCACTTATACTGGTTGAGCATTTTTAGATATTTCATATCAGCCCAGCCAGGTTGAGATCGCCTCACTGTTAGCGTCCACATCATGATCTCTTCCTGCGTCATAGCCCTCATCTCCATATAGAGGAGCCTCAGCGTCTGAAACATCCATTCGGGATGGACAAACATAATCAGCATTTGCATCAGAGTCCAGGTCAGTAGGCGGATTGTTGTCACTAGTGGTGGTATGTTGAGGGAGGATGAGTTTGGAAACCAGTTGTGTACAACCAGAGTGAGAGCGTGGATAATCGTGTTTGCGCAAATGAGCACCAGTGAAGGTGCGTTCAGGAGGGACAGGTTTGGACGCTGCTATAGCACAACTAGTGTCAGAATATGAATCAGGACACGGATTGTCGCGATTCCGTGAATTGGCACCAGTGAGGGTGTGTTCTGGGGTGTTGGGCTGGGAGGATGTATGAGCAAACCTAGACAGAGCACCGCTATAATTGCATTTGGGAGTCATAGCCATAAGTGAAGGTGGGACAAAGCCAAACCTTGAGTCGACACCACGGGAATGTAAAATAGGTCTGTCCTCCATGACACACCTTTCATCCCGCAGTAAGCTGGAGCTTGAAAGACGCTTGGTCTTCTTGTTGCTCGATTTTGCGTTCTTGTCGCCTGATATCGCCTTGATTGGTCTTGCCCTTGGTTTGGGTCTGGGTGCCTCTGGCACCATAAAATTTACAGGCTGGCTGTTCAGCATGTCCTGGGCAGGGTTTTCCTTCACTGGCTGCTGTCGTTTCATCTGTGAATGTTCCATCTTTTGAAGCTGGCCAAGGCGTCCACCTTGACCAATGTTACTTCGCTTAGAGTGACGTAGGTCTTCTATGGTACTACATATCAGTTTTGTTAGATAGAAATTAGTATACTTACCAAGATCAGCTGCTACTACGGTCTTGTATTTACCCATCAAAAATTGAATGTGAACACGAACACTGTCATAATGTGTTCATTTCACAGGCTAGTAGTGCTACACATTTGAAACTCCACGAACGGAGTGCGGCGGAACATGGTGCTAGAGTATAGTATGTAGGTACAACAAAGCAAATGATGCCAACAGAAGGCAGGGCCTACAAGAACAGTAGTAAGTGGTGAAACATATACATCTACAGAGAGAGCACGAAATTTGAAGGTTAAGTTTCATCCCCCTCACTAAGACCTACACATCCGAATCATCACTCAGCTCAGAGGAAGACTCAGTTCCAGATGTGGCTAGTTCTGAGGAGGAAGTAGTCTCATCGCTAGCGTTAGAGATGGATATGCGGCTGATTGAGGGTTCGGCATTCTCTGGATTGTCCACCTGGACATGTCCAGAGGATAAGGCTCTCCTGATTGAGGGCCTGGTACTTGCGTCTATGGTAGGATTGTCCACACGACGATGCTTTGTGCCAGAGAATTGGCGACGGTACCAATCGCAGTAATGGAAGTGGGCGATTTGATAAATGGCCACTGACATGAAGGACTTGTTGAGCTCCCAATTGAATGTGAGTGTGCTGGGGGTGAGAAGATGCTGGTGATTTACATTGGATTCAATAGTGTCAAGGGTGTGGCTCATGGTGGCCTTCACACGATCCATACCACGGTTCAATGCATCAGTGACATCACCCATGTTAATATCCGGAAATAGTGTCTGCAAATGTACATCAGCATACTAATATTCTCATTATCAAAACACTAGACTTACTCCATGCGCTGTAGGATCAGTGGTTACATCAATACGCTGATCTCCAGATTTAACCCAAACATAATATTCAACAGACTTGATGTCAATCCACTCATGCCCCAATGCTACCACAGGCCCGAATAACTTGTCAGCAGTGCGTGCGGGAGCGAAGGCACTGTAAGTCCGCACCGATCCCTCTTCGCGTGTCTCCTTCCAAGCATCAGAGTCTGCCATGGGGGTGGCAAATTTCTTTTTTTCTTTGACCAAGATCATAAGAATAAGAAGTAGTTCTTCGTGCGATAGAAGCACATCTCCCACTTTTGCCATGATGGCAGGTCGAGACTGAGTGAATCCGGATTCGACCATCCAGAGAAGTTGGGTCTCAGCGGCTATTGTGGTTGTAGGCGTCATGGTTACCTGCATGTCAGGTATGGTGAAAATGTTTTCAGAGTAGATCTGACTGTTGGAAGAGACGCAGGTCTTCAAGAGTGTTCGGTTGTACTGAACGCTGTGGAGAGCTTGTGAGATGATGAAAGACATCTTGCTTGTGGTTTGTTCATGGACAGGGTGCGGAGAATACACGATGAGAATCATTCTGCGAGGAAAATACGACATCCTATGATGTTGATGTAAGACGATGTTTATGCAAATAAATACAATTGACACGACGTACTTTGTGTGATAGTTTGAAAATGTCAGAGAGTCCATGTGCTCCAAAACGCGTGCATGATCATCAGGAGAGACGTTGACAAAGCATACAGGTTCCACCCAGACCTGCTGAAGAGCATCTATGAGTTGCTTGTGGCACCCAGCTAGCAGTGAACTGAGAGAAACAACTGATCTCAGTGGGTAAGCACCCTTACCCGGTTCTGCAGTAATGACATTCGTGATGCCCAAAACCTGATCATGTTTCACGACTGCAGTATCAGTTTGGGGCTTGGCTGCGATTGTTGGAGTTTCAGTCTCTGCTGCCACTGTTGAAGTATTCGATGGTTTGTCTATAGATTTGTAAAATAAGCAATCTATGCTGAGAGTAAGCAATCTATTAGCATACAAGTTACATCTGCAGGACGCAGGGTCTCTGTCTTAGTGCCACGTCATCTTGATCTGCTAGAGATCCATGATGTCGTGGATAAGACGGGCATGCCCGAACTCAGTTCACTCTTCGTATCAGACGCGGGAGTTTTGCCTCTGGAGTTGTGAGTATAATAGTATGGGCCTCCAACAAGGTCTCCAAAGACCACAGCCACCATAGATTGTGGTAGGTACAAAGCAACGGATCTGACGTGCAAGCCTACATAGTTCAAAGTTTGGGCGCTATGCCATCGACTCTCACGATGGGCTGGCCAATGAAAAAAAACCCCATCAATCTGAAATAGTTAATACCCCCCTATCTGTCTATCTACCAGTCACATGAAGCGCAAAGAACAGCTCTTTGTTCCAGAACTTATTCAAGTAAAACTCTGTGGTATGGTTAATACTGCTTTGCATCGTTAATCGCGGATCAGCTTTTTGACCAAAACGCGGGATGAGATGGACAGGCGCCACAATCTGAGTGACTGGGATAACATCACCAATTTTGTCGTTATTCACTCGTCGAGCACGCCTGAGGATATACATACCCGTAGATTTGTCGAGAGTCACAATGTCTAAACGTTCAACATATGCAAGACATGTTTGAGAATATGAAAGTGGTGTGATGGGACGAAAAATTAAACGAAGGTGAGCGACAAAGTGTCCTGTGTTGGTCAAGATCAGTAGTGTGGCAGTATAGGTATAAAAACATACCATCTAGGCCACTTTTTGGCCACTTGTGCGTGTCGCCTGTACTAACAATAACAGAGTCATATCGGCCATATGGCCAGGAATTTGAGGGCGGTTCAACATGTAGTGCTTGTGAGGGCTCAAGATGTTCAGGGTCATGAAAAGATTTTGACTGCATCCATATCTTGCACCATATTTGAATGCGTTCAAAGGGGAGGGGGCAGCCAGGGTGTGCACGGCGCCTGCCACCAACGACAAAATGATCAACATGGGCGTCATCCTGGTCGAGATGATCGGAGACTGCGGGACGAAGGTCAGGAAGAGAGAAGTGTTCAGAAGCCTTATCCACTGTCATTTTTGTGAGCGTGGGGTGATCGTTGAGATGGTAAGCATTGATTGAGGTTGAGAATGTTCGATAGGGATGGGGAGCTTGAGGATGGACACCGTTAATGAGGTCGCGTGCGCAAGCAAAGTAGTCCTTGACAAAATGGTGAGTGAGACCACCCTCATTGTCTTCGTCACTTTCATGACCTTCACAATCCTCCTGCGCACGCATCTGCAGTGCGAGGTCAAAGCGCTCCACCCTATCGCAACGATCAAGGTGGCGACACACTTGCGCATCGTAGTCGTGATTGTTCCCTGCCCTCAATGGCTCCTTCACAACCCTGATATGTGCATGTTCAGTGGGGTCTGCAGACCACTGCATGACTGGCACCATGTGAATAAATACTAGGTATTACCCCTGCAGCAACTCAAGTTTTGGAATCACCCATGGCTTATCCTCACCCCTTTTCCCCCAACGAGCACCAGCATCAACAATGGAATGTTTGAGCCAGTGGAAGGCTTTAAAACAGCGGTCCAACTCCACCACTTGCTTGTCGGTGAAATGCGGGGCTTGAGCGAGGTATCTAAACTCTGCGAGAGCACGAATAGCGGATACGAAGTCGGCAGGGGCAACACCAGCAATCACGCCGATGATGTAACGTTGAACATTGCGATGGTCTCGTCCTGTGGCCTGCTTCAAAGTGGAGATCCCTTCCTTAAATGCACTGGTAACCAGTGCACACCTGGAGCAGCGCAAAACAAAAATCAATTTCTTGTGAGCCAACCACCAATGTGCACCAGAGACGGTCATGGTCCCAGAACATCTTGTGAAGATGGTGAAGTAGCTCCGGAGTGAGGAAGGAAGAAGGATTGGCAGCCAGCCAATTCCTCCAGAATGGCAAGTCGACACCATTTAGATTATAACGCTTACAATGCCTCAAAGAATGCGACAAGATCAGATGGTGAGATAGACGCAATAATGGCTGCAATATTGGCGAGGGTGGATGATCCATTACGAGGAGGGTGTCGGATTGGGTCTCCAAAGTCTTTGCGGGTAGCCATAGTGACAGGCGATGAGTTCATCGTAGCGCATGCAACGACAAGCTCCTCCGGAGTATCCTGCGACATAAGCAACAAGGGGGGTGAAGCAATACCTGCTAAATCCCTGTGGATCACTCATCATAATGCCGAGACAGGCTGCTTGCTTCAACAGCTCAACAACGAGGTCGATACATTGGTGGAGTAAGCGGTCTGCGAGAACCCCACGCATGCGTTTGTTCCTGTGCACGAACTTTGCAACAGGAAGTAGAGCGAGTGGGATATAGGCATGTAAGGAGCCTTTGGCGTGCACACTGGGATCGATATTGGCGAGACTAACGAGAAGTGGATGTGCGTAATGGTTACCAGCGATGTTGCTGACCTTGGTCTTGTCCGAGGAGAGGACTACACCAAGGAGTGATGCACCTTCAGGTAGGTCTTTCTGTGATCCTGTTAGCCATGTGGACCAAAGAATTGAAACATGAGACCTTACCTGAAGGTTCCAAGCATGGTCACCTGTCATAAATCCATGATACACTCAGACAGCACGTTCAGCAGACTCATAAACTTTGCGAGGGATGAAATCAAAGCTGGTAGCCATCAGTGGGTGGCTGAGAAGTGATTGTAAGCACTCAATTGCATCCCGATAAAATATTCGGAGGATCTTTGTTGTTGGAAACTCGGTTGTAACTGTTTCATACTTCCATCGAGGCGGTGCTGGGAGCAATTCAGAGCGTCATTGGAGTTCTCTCGAAGACCGAAACGACAATGGCAGTGTTTTGGTCTGAACATACTAGTAAGTTCAGACTGAGTAATTTAGACAGAAGAACTCACAAATTCAAGATTAAGGTAGTCGTCAATATCGGCCATGCTAAGATTAGACCGGAGAAGAAACGATGCCATCTCCCAGTCTGGTTCGCTAGCAAAAGGCCAGTATCGGTTTTCCTTCCTCTCATGTAGCATATTCATCCTCACTGAACTGGTCCATGAAGGTCTGTCCAATACCCCATGTCTTGCCTGCACCTGTCGAAAACCTCCACTTCTTCACCGTAATCTGCCTGTAAACCACCCTCCACTTCAATGTTTGCATCAAATACATGCTCCATACTAAACTCCGGGTCCAAGGTCAAATCCATATCTTCGTCGAGAGGACTTGGAACTCGTGCTGGCCTCGAGATGCAAACCAGGTTAGTACCATCCCACTTGTAACAGCGGGAAGAAGGCTGATTAAGATGTTGTAGAAACTGTCCCTCGTTTTTAAGGTGCTTGCCGCAGGATGGGCAATGCATATTGAAGATGTGAAGTAAGTCACGGTCCAATTCAATTTGGGTCGAATGGCTTATCGGTAATTTCCGGCACAACGTGAACCGTAACTACAATGTCAAAGTATCGTTCAAGCTATGCATCATCATCACAATCATCCCAGTCATCTATTTTCTCACCTTTGACATTCAGAGGCCAAAAAACTTCAAGTTATACGACTCTTTCTGTAGATCTAGGCTCCGACGTTCCAGACGATACGTCTGAATACTCAGAAGTACATAATATGGTGAGTAATGAGTTTGATTCTAACACTTGCCTTGAACTAGAACTTTCTACAGCACAAACACCATAATTCACAGGTCTGGCAATTCAGCACTCATACTACATTGATGCCGGAGACTTCAGAAGAAGCTGTGTACTTGCTCGAGATGGCACGAGCTGATCTCGAAGTTCGATGCCTCGAGAAGGACCTTGCTGAGTGAGTTCTTCATCAATTTCACATGTGCAAACACCATCTACTTCTTCAAGCGAAGAAGGCGAAGAGAAAATTTGGAGATGCGGAAGCTCATGTAGGGCGCACGCATGCTCACTTGATGAGGTGTGGGTTTGTCTGCTCAGAACGCTCGCTTTGGTCTCCTCGTCCTGCATCCATCAAATCAGGTAAACAAAATTATTTTAAAAGTTACCATGCAGTGGCTGATGAGTATGCGCTATTAGGATCTGTGTCTGTTTGACAATGGATTAGCGGTTATAGGTCTACAAATGTAAATGATTTGTACATACACGAGCAGACTCGATTGAACGTACCAGAACACACAATCAACTATCAACCCATCCTGGTGTATGTAACCTCTCAGTAGAAATGGTATTGCTCAGAAACGCGCGTGTGCGCGTCGTCGTGCTGCATCGTTGCTTCCTCAACCTAAGTCCAACTTCTCAATACATTTGAAAGCCACTGCATCCCCCACATTCCATACAAACTGTTTGTCGTGGACGGTGAATCGAAGACAGTTTCCTCTGCGACCCACATATGCAACAACATTTAATGGTAAGGTTTGACGCTAATGCAAATCGTGCTCAACCTCTGGACTGATCCCTTCACTCACAGTCGATTGTGTGCAGTGTTGTCAAAAGTGAGAACGCGAAGATACACTGTCTATTTGCAGAGACGATGCCAATATAGTATTTCCTGAGTTGCTACTGTAAACACAATATATTGTCGTAGAGCCGACCGAAGGGGAGTCCTTGTATGTTTTAGCCTGAGTACTAGTGTTGAAGTACTTGATTCAAGTTGAATGAATATGGAGCTGTTAAACATATTCTCCGAGTGTCACTGGGTGTAGTACTCTCTATGTGAATAAATACGAGCAAGCATTGATTTATTTGTGAATTTACATCGCCGAGCAGTATGACCCTGTGCACTGTGCGAGACTGTATCACACTGTAGCCCTGTGTGCTCTGTGCGCTGTACCGCTGTGGGGCTGTGCCAGTTGTGTCGCTGTGGGAATCTTGTATCCAAAACGGGTGGTTAGCTGATGCTATTCTTTTTGTTGAGGGTCCACCAGGCATTGTAGGAGATGTGTTTCGTGAAACTGGTGATTTCGAACCAAAACTCATGCTGTGTGGTTTGCCAGGTCCCATTAGTCTGGGCATGTTTTTGATGGTTATTTTGTTTTTGTTTCTTAGATTCAGTATCTAGGTGAAGGTTGGGTCAGGTGTTGACGCCTCTAGGCGTATTTAGCGCTGTTGAGCGCTATGTTGGCTAGAAGTTTTTCGGGGTCCTGATCGGGGTGCCACTTGGTGTGTGACGAGTGGCCTTTTTCAACTGGCCATCTACTTAATTTCACCCTTGCTTATTTTTGCTTATTGCACGAGAAAGGTTAACAATAAGTAAGTTAAGGAACTGCATGTTTCACTGATGCTCTCAGTTACATAGTTGAAGGCGTAGAAAGAGTGCCGCACTACTTATGCCCAATGATCACTAATCTTAGTTCAACGTGAGACAGTGGTCATAATTACCTCCTCCTTGCGCGCCCCACCATGTAGGGAATAGGTGAGAGGTACCACTAGCGCCTTGCACCGCAAACGCGAGTATGAACACCATGACTTGAGTGCCTCCGTCAAGGGCTACATCACTTGATTAGTCCGGGTACCTAATGACGTTGGAGAATACTCACCAGCTGCGACGATGTAGTTGTATTTAGCAAACCAGCCAGGGTAGCGCGTACGCAGCCACCATTGGGAGAGGAATGCGACAGCAAAGTAGCTCAGAATAAATGAATTGATCCCACCGACAAGGTATCCAGTGACGAAGCTGTGAAATATGTGAGCATGCTGCCAGAAATTCAAGAAACACTAAACGTACAGGATAATTGGAGTATAAAGATAATCAGCATGAAGCTTTGGCCAGTACCTGTGAATGACCCAGAAAGGAACAGGTACGAAAAGTCCAAGTACGTAAGCCCAAGGAACCCATTGGTATCTTTGGCCTGTGGAAAAGAGCTCGTCACTGAGTCCACCCCATGCAATTGCCTGAGAGTTGTACATCTGTGGCTGTCGTCCAGACCAGATATTGGTTCCTTCAACAGATAACAAGATTTCACGTTGGTTATCAATGATTGAATTCATCATGACTACATGCGCAATGTCAGTTGATTTTGTAGTCATGTAACAAGTGGCGTGCGCACTGTAGTTCAAGACTGCACCAAGCAGCGTTCCAATAATCTGGGCGGTAAATGCAGCGCGAGGTGGCAGCTTTGCATCTGTAATTTACGGTCAACACAGATTGCCCTGTCCTCCTACGCACTTGAAATATACTCACACTGAGCAATCTTGAGGTCTCGAAGCAGTAGTTGGGCTTGGAAGACAGTGTCTACAACATTGGGTTAGCCGACCTGTTCTTGGAATGCAAGGTCGACACATACTGTTTCCGTATAAAACGAAGTACATATTTGCCACTGTCGCATCCGTCAATCAAAGCATATGAGAAATCAACGACAATCACCTGGCGATCCCTTCTGAATGTAACCACCAATCATCTGGCCAAACCTGGATGCAAACTGAAATGTCGAATATCGAAATGGAATTCAGGAACCTACGTCTGTATGGTGAACGACAATCCTGTAATCGCGGCGAGTGCACCGAGGAATAGAATGAAAATTGTCGCCAGCAAGAGCGAGATAAGGAAGCCCCACCTTCAATGCTCGTCAGCCTGGACCACATTTCCAATCACAGCTACTCACCATGGCAAAGTCGAATCGGTCTTGTATAAAACGACCAGGGCAACAACGAAGGACAGGAGGAAAACGACGAAGTACCAGCTATTGGGAGCATCCGGGTACTATTATAGAAATATTCATGTTGGTGAGCTGAATACAGAGAACTGCAAAACTAACCTTCAGCATCTGCTTGTAGTGGGGATCGATGTCTTCACCATCGACGTCTTGCTTCCGCATTCCATCGGCTCGCCAGAACTTCCAGTCAAAATTCGCCCATATGTTTTTGATGCCCGACGGATTCATCCAAGTCCATGCAGAACTTATATCGCTCCGGTTCCAGAGGAGAAGATGAGTGAACAAGGCCCCCAAACTCTACAATTTCAAACCGTCAGTCCGCAGAGCCTCACTAACGTTTGGTGAACTTGCCAAATTCTGGGTAAGTAAATAGACTACCCAAGTGCTGGAATAGTAAGGTAATCCTTGTTCAGCAAGGAGTGTGGGATCGACTTCATAGTTCGAATTGAGAATGAGCGTTTGATCGTACTGTGTTCCGTTTTCATAGTACAAGAGTTGAGAAAGCTGTGAGGTGTTGGCATCAATGTTCTGCCGTTGCACGTGAATGTAGACTAACGAATGGGAAGTTCTGGGCCTTCCAGATGTTGTTGTAATATACGGCCACAAACACAACCCTAGACATAAGTCAATGCAAGGTCCCGAATCAGGGCGGAGTGATCGCACGCGCAAAAAATGTAGCCCAGAAAATTCGAGAACTATTCAAGAAGTATGTAAGGCTTCTGGCCCGCGAATTCAAGAAGAAGAAGTCATACCTGTGCTTTAAGCGGGATAGTCATAGGGTTCACCTGGCCAGCAATATACTGTCGCAGATCCAGTCAATAACGCGATCCACTTCGAAGTTCGTATTCACACTTACTTGCCAGTCAAAGCAGATAGACAGGAGCCCTAGACCCTCGTTACCCGTTTGAACCACCAAACAGTCGCGAGACGGTGGCATTGTTAGGAGCTGCAAGGCAGAAAATTGAAACCCCGGTCAGAAGCGGAAAGATCCATTCTGGGAAAGCTCCCAAACAAATATGCTGAGTCGATCAGCATGTTTGATCATTGCCGGTCTTAATCAAGGGACTTACGCAGCAACCACCATGGAAAAGACTCTGAGCTTCTTCCGTGATGCCATCCCGCCTTCGTAGAGAGCATCGAACATGGACAGCAATGGTAGCACACCGGGGTATAA